AAAGGACAACCTGTTGCCCCCGCAATGTTTGGGCAATGGGGGCAGTTGCCCCCGCAGCAGCACTTTACCACGGCCCTCTATCGGGAATCGAACCTACGATTCTGGTGCAGCGATCTAACCGAGCTGAGAGCTACACAACTGGACTCTGTAGCTTAGTTGGTTTCCGTAGAATAATCCCTGTACAATAGATTTAACAATATATGCTTGTAATTGATGGATTTCTTATCTTTCTTTTAGCAGCCAGTCTAGCCAAAGTACCTTACAGTTAAACATATTTTACAGTGAACTGAATTATGAAATTGTGGAGGAAAAACGTTCTTACGAGGTATATATGGAGCTGTTGACTATACACGTAAAAACGCCCAAGTTGTGACAAGGTTGTTGTCAAGCTGACATCAGGGGCAAGTCCTACGGTAACAGAGTTGTTACAACAAGATTAATACGGCTGTTCGTAACAACTTGTTATCCAAATTGGTAACAACTTGTTACGACTGAAGTGGAAAATTGGCTTTAGTCGTGTCGCGTAGATGGGCCAACAAAGCGCTCGAATATTCCACCCATAAAAACGCTAAACTTTTTTTTTGCCGATCCCAAAAATCATCTTTTTGGTTTTTCAGACCACCAATCTTCTGGCAGACATTGGTGGACAGTTGGGGTTATGGATTGGCATTTCTGCTCTGACCGTATGCGAACTGTTGGAATTGATTCTGAAGTTTATTGCACTTGCTTTTACCAAGCTCAAGACTCGTAATCATGTCACTGAAATAAGACAGGGAAGATAAACCCATTACTGTTTGTGGGTGTTGTTAATAGGTTGCAGGATACCCTACAACTTTAACAAGTTCAAACATTTTTTACATATTCTTGTAGCTTACAAATAGATCTGTCATCAAGTAAAACGATTAAAAATGAGTCGGGGTATCCTGATATTGAAATTCCTTATACTTGCTGGATGTAATATGAAACTCAGATATGGGCAAGAATTTCACCAGTTACATCCAACAATCCGTGTTGTATAATCGTTAAAGTGAATCGTTATGCAAATTTATCATTGTTATACTATTGTTTCATACAACTCATATATTCGACATGTTTAATACTATTTAAAGCAAGATTCAATAAAAGAAACTCTCTTAACATTAAATATTAAAATCAGAAGTTTTTGCTTTACGCCACGGGGCCAATATTCTTTTCCTACCAAACGGGTGTAGGTTTCTGTAAACTGTTCCATTAAGTAAAAGTTCGTAGCAAATTCTACGAAATATGTAAAAGATTAGATTAAACAGTAATGGTCCAGTAATGGACAATTGTCAACTACAGCTCTGCATATAGAAATATAAACATTAAATTATTTTTAATAATACCCACGATAGATAAAGTTTAGAATAAAATGTAACGAGGGTAAGAAGGGAAACATTACATGCTCGTTAAAATCTAAGAGGTCGCTTCAGCAACAGCTGGTTCTGCGGATTTATTTTCGACAGGTTCTTCAGTTGTTGTGGCTGCAACTTCACTGGTTGTCTCAGCTGTGGCGTCACCGTTCTTGCCTTCTTCTTCCCCTTCCTCTTCGCCATCTTTCTTCTCCTTCTTTGCACTGCCATCTCCTTGACCGCTGTCCTCTCTTCTTCTCTTGAATCTTCCACCACGACCGTATCGTCCGCCACGGAATTTAGAGGATGGGGGGAGCCGTTCAATGCCAAGCACCTTGTGAAGTTGACGGAACGCTTGCAAACGAAGATAATTCTACAAAACAGAAATAAATCAATTCGGTTGTCCTAATGCATTTGACTTGATCAATATCGAAATGACTTGACTACGACTTGCAAAATATTGTTAACAAGTCTGGAAAATATGCGATGCAACTACCTCGAGCGAACACATTTCATTGTATTTAATTATCTTTATATACGGTAACCTATCAATTGACATTGATTTTCATAGGGCCGTGTAATATTTGCAAGTGAAAAAGTTTGAAATGGAATTATAATATTTACAATTTATCATTTAGATGCTGATTCCAGGTCTTAGCCCCATATAACTAAAATTTCTCTTTGAAGTTAGTTCTTGCAAAACATTCTATATATTTATATTGCATATATATTTATATTGCAAATATAATAGAAGTTAGTTCTTGCAACTTGTAAAATATACTGTACACTCTCCAATTACAAGTTGTGTGGACTTAGTACGTTCCATACCTGTGCAGTTGCTGTAAGGTCTTCCCGTTCTTGAGCGGTCATTTCTTTGGAAGCATCTGTGACTTCTTTCTCACATGGATCGTGTAAGCCAGGGCCACCTAGAAAACGGATTATAATATTCTTGATTTACATGCATGTGTCGCGTCCAGTGTAAATGGACTTGTAACTAGGTGTAGTCAGTGAACTCTATAAAAAGTCGAATGATAACTCAGGGTTTTTTTTTTAAGCCAAAGATGGCGGAAATTGAAGCCCGCCTTGCCATATGCTAAGGCCCCAACGCGAAAATTCACTGCATCATTTAATGTAGAAATTACATATTTTTTAGCTGATTAGTTTCTAAGTCCGGCTTTACTAGGCGGTTGATAAGTCGCGAGAATATCTGGTGCACTTAAATATGGATTTGAACTTGTGCTCTCGTTGAGCTTGACTTGATAGCGCAATGCGAGTTCGAATCCAGTCTGAGTCAACTTTACGTTGACTGGGTTTCTGTCATGAATATTGTGTCAAATTCTGAGAAACATATTTCTTTAAATACTACTTACCGGGTAAGAGAATTCCAGAAGAAATACATTCGAGCACGCGACGGAATGCTTCACCAGGTCCTAGAGGTTGTTCTGCACTGCTTAAACATTTCTCAACCAACAGTTCCAATGACTGAATAGAGAAAAAGTACAGTACTTCATTTAAACTTTGTGCAACAGATTTCAATGTAATTCTGAAAACGTCCCATACAACGACAAATCTGTAGAGAATCGGAGTACTTACCCAGCTATTTAGTGGAGTGAAGACTGGCAGTCGATCGCGCATATCACGCAATATCCTAATGATCACAACGCATGATGGGACACCATTAGCTTTAGCCTAAAACATGAACATTTGTTAGAACGAAACTGGCTTGGTCAAGTTGCCTGCACACAGACTACGTGCCCGAATTCCATCCTAGACATGAACGTTTCGCACAACAATGCATGCTATAGCCTTAATAATCACGAGACAAAAGACCTTCACTTCAAATGGAGTTACATTAATACATGTCACATATCACAACAAATGATGGTAGTAACAAGGGTTTTTGATTAAAAAGGAATTCATCTTATGCACATTGTCTATGGCAAGCAATCTCCACACAAAAATTAACTATACGAAGGGGATATTTAAGAATGGAACTCTAAACAGCAAACTGCATCGTAAACATAACATCTTCTCTCAGTTAAACTGGACCACAAATACTTTTTATTTAGAAATTTTAAAAGACTAACATTACAGGATAGCAATGTTTGCAATTTGAAATAACGCAGCTCGTTTGCATTTAGCTGGTTTAAATATCGTTTATACCTTTGCCGAACGTAATAACATAACGTTCTTGTGAGAAAATAAGTTTTTTGGCAAATTCACTTCAATTTTTAGATATAGCCAAATCACCAAATTTTATAGCAATGCCTTTAGATTAGAAAAAAATGCTTTGAACGATTTCCCAGCATAAAACAGTGCGTACGACCAAACTTTGCTCTATACAACTCTGTGTAATTCAATGCTATTTCCTCAGACTCATTAAATCAGTTTATTTTTCCTCCACGGACAAGTCAGGAAAAATAAGATCATCATTGGAAACAGCTTGCATCACTGACAAGGCCAATGTCCAATTCATAGCGAGAAGACATCATGTGTACGATGCAGTTTACTTAATACTACATGAAGTAGAAGTCGAACCTGGAACCATTTAGCATGACGTAGGGATGCCAATGCCTCCAGACATTTGTCTCGATCCAATACATCTTTTTGTTCTTCCGCTAAATCAGAGTGAACTGGGTCAGGAGTTGGCGAGGATGTGTTTGACCGCACGAGACATATTAATGTGTGCAACACCAAGTACTGATGTGCAACACAGAAACGGTCTTTGATGCTCCGGGAAAAAGACTCACAATAACACAAAATAGAAAGGGATAAAAAAAAATTAAATCACAAAAACAGTCCAAATTTACAGGAAATTGTTTTTAAATCAATGTAAATGAAATTAAGCAAATTTATTGGTAACTGAACTTAAGAAAATTGATAGAAGTTGTTCAGAAAATTAAATGAAATCAAATGAAACAAATTTATTGCTAACCGAATGTCAGAACGTTATTGGTAGCAAACAAGAATCATGCAACTCAGAATAAAATAAGCAAACTTTTCACCATTTTCAATGAAATCTTGAAAAACTTTGATATGACTTCACAGTATATATACTTATACGTCTAGTAATATCAATTATTAAACCAAAATGCTAAAAACATAATTACTAAAAAGTTTATGGGTTTCCAAGTTTGTACTTTATTCCTTGTTTAGCAACAGAAAAATCTTTCTTGAAATTGTCCTTTGGTTTGAAAATGAACACCTTAATCTTTCATTCTTTTGGAAACTTTAAAAGGATATTCTTTTTTCGAATGTAACATATTTTCAATAAACATTCAAATGTAGAATTAAGTGTTCCAAGTGACAATTAAAAAAAGATCATCCTGATGTTGCCAATACTATTTCTCAAGTAAAACGATTTGCCAAAATTTTCTTATACAATGTAAGTATGTATTAGAGAATGGAGCATCAAATATATATGGGTCAAATCTCCTTCCAATACCCTCTCCTGTATCTCTGAGGAACAATATCATATTCACTAACAAAAGATACTGTTGCAGAATATTACAACAGCAAAAGAACAAAAAATTAGCATAGGTGTACAATAATATGATAGCAATCACAACGTTGTTTTCAAACCCACCCCCTTACCAAAATGAAGGTGATGGTGATACAAGAAAAGTACCATTATTCAAACATGTCCGTATTTTTTCACAAGGATATTTTTTATATGAAAACACGTTTTCTCAAGGGCATATTTTTAGGTTAAACAAACTATTAGCAATCAGAAAGAAAACATTGAGATAAATTCATTACTATTTTCTAGACATGTAATTTTTAAAGTTTTAGGAATTTTTGGACTTACCTTAGAATGGCTCCACATATCAGGATATTTAAAATACAAAAATTATAAACTGTCGATTTAAATTATATGCACTTGAATGAATTGTTAAACGCAACCTAATCTATACCGTTTCGAGAATCTGGGTGGAACAAGATATAAATTTTGTAAAAGAACTGAAAAAATACTTTAGAATAATAAAATTCAGAAAAAGAAACATATATCTGAAAAACCAGTTTATAATTTTTACAATGGTTGGAAATGTCACTGAATTGTTTTCAGTGTAGATAAGCACGAAAGATTGACAGGACATTTTGTTACCTTGTGCAGCCTCGACTTCGTCTCTCATCACAGGTGACGTCAACGTGATCAAGACAGTGATTGATGGTTCTTTAGAGGTCGTTACTTTAATCAGGGAACCATCAACAACAACATCATATTTCTCATCACTAACTTTCTGAAATAATAAAAAAAATTGTGGTTCATTAATCACATTCAGTAGCCAAATTAAATTATAACATCAATTATAACAAAGAGTGAAAGTTATTATGAATCCTTACAGCAACGAGTATGAATTGTAGTTACTAACTATTATTGACAGCTATAAGTCAATTATATTCGAAATAAAATCGCTGCTCACATTTACAAGTAATAAGTATTGTAAATAATGTACTTGTAAATAGTCTACCAACTTTCTCATTAGACATTAATATGTTACTATTTTAAAACTCATTAATATATATTACTATTTTAATACTCTATATATTTTAAAAGATTTGGTAAATAGCTCTAAATTTTCTGGTACATGTAAAATTTTTATTTTTTTGGCATACGCCCCTTGTGGAAATCAGCTTCGGTTGACAGGTTGGTGTGTACGTAAAAATAAAATTTCTATCCATCTTACATCTATCTATCTGAACTTAAATTAACAAATTTGGTATTTTCAAGGACTTTTCAAGGAGCTCTTGAAATTGATTTTCAATTCAAGTAGTCAAGCACCTTTCAAGGAGTTCAAGGACCAGGCACAAGTCATAAGGTGGCTAACAGAGGCGCCCTTGGAAAACATTAGACTTGATGAGGTCGAGTTAACTTACATCCTTTGCTCACTTACTTACACAGTTTACAAAAACAAATACCAGTGTTTTGGTAAAAACAGAAAGGCATACACTGCCACTTACAGTTAGTTGTTCAGGCAGTTTTGATGAAACTCGTTCCAGAAGCTGTGTTGTTGGTCGGTCTAGAAAGTAAATTCATAAAGGATAAATACACATGCTTTCAATACGATTGTAGAGCAAAGGTTTTACATGAAAGATGTAAAATCTTAAATCGAAGTTCTTTGGAAGGTAGATGAGAATTTCGCTTATTGATTGAATGTTACAAGACTGTCTTTAATATAAATAGTCAAAACTTTAGTGATATTTTCAAATAACGATGTAATAATACTAGTATTTTAATAACATATTATTATTAAATGACAGTTGAAGAAATTACCTTGGCATAAAACAACAAGTTGAACGTCCAGTCTTTCATGGAGAAGTAAACCTTTTGCAAGGACTCCAACACGCATAACGCCTTTCAGGGTTCCTGCCAAACAGAATAAGGTGAACAACGAATACATTATGCTGCGGCTAAACCTACTGTAGTACACACTCGCGATGTTGTCTCTTCCTTATGGATGCAAATGAGTGAACACACACAGAAAGTATAGAATCAATTATTCAATTGCATCCAGAAATTCCACTCAATCTCATGGTCATAGTTACACTGGATAGAGAACTGTAGGGTAAGGCATTTAATATACGAAATCTTACTTCCACTCAAAGCTGAACAATACAATTATAAAGAAAAATTCAATGAGTCTTTAGGATGAGACTCCATCATTATAATACCAGCAACTGTATGCTAAACTGTGTATGTCACTACAAGCAAAGGATATTTGATCATTATGTCAACAATTAAATTTTACAATATGCCTATGTGATTCAAGATTGCACTACCACACCTACAGAAGCATGCCCCATGCAGTGACCCAATGCTCTATAGAGCATCTTGCTAAATGCTAAAGATTTTAATACTATACACTTCCTAAATGCTAAAGATTTTAATACCAGCAACTGTATGCTAAGCTGTGTATGTCACTACAAGCAAAGGAAATTTGATCATTATGTCAACAATTAACTTTTACGATATGCCTATATGGGATTCAAGATTGCACTACCACACCTATAAGCATGCCCCATGTAGTGACCTAATGCTCTATAGAGCATCTTGCTAAATAATTTAATACTATACACTTCCTAAATGCTAAAGATTTTAATACCAGCAACTGTATGCTAAGCTGTGTATGTCATTACAAGCGAAGGATATTTGATCATTATGTCAACAATAAACTTTTACAATATGCCTATGTGATTCAAGATTGCAGAACCACCCCTTACAAGCGCCCCATGCATTGTGCTAATGTTCTATACTACAATACAGTATCTTGCTAAATGCTAAAGATTTTAATACTAACTTGGCGGTGTTTGTTCACTCTTCTCTTTTGGCTTAGCAGCTGCTGGTTTCTTTGTTTCTTCAGGCTTTTTCTCTTCTTCAGTTTCGGCTGCCTTCTCTTCACCTTCCATCTTCTCACCATCTGGCTTTTCTTGTTCACCCTCTTCTGTTTTTTCTTCTTTAGCTGGTGTCTCAGACACCTCCATCTCCTCTTCGTTCACTTCTGCTTTAACAGGCACTTCTTCTTCTGCAATACTATCAGATACCAGCTTCAATGCTTTCTCAGCAGCAGATACAATACTCTGCACAGCACTTAGTTCCTGTTCATTTGGATAGATCTGTTTGTGTTTTGCCATTACCAAACGATCATCTTGACTGTCTTGTCTTGGTCGAGCCATGTTAGGCGGTGGATACTACATGGGAATATGTGAATAAATTCAGACACCCACTAATAACCTAGCAACTGTTAACAAGAAATATTAGTGCTTAAATGTCTCTGTGCTGTCAAGAACAGCGAGTGTTTTACTTACAACTGTGACAAAGTATATGTTTTTCACAGGTTACAGTAGTTAGTGATGAATATTTTTTAATGGTTTCAGATAGGGGTGCACCGGCCGGATTTAACAAATTTTCCGGCATCCGGCCGGATTTGGAGAAAATCCGGCCGGATTTAAATTTCTGTTTTCACCTTTAAAAAATCACCACAACAACAACCACAACAACAACAACAACCCCAACAACAAACCAAGAATGGGATAAACCATCAATTTGGTAGCTTTAAAGTTTAAAAAACACTTATACTACTATAAAATATTAAGTTATTAACAAAAAGATATTTAAATTAAAAAAGGTTTAAACACAATCAAAAATCTAAACTGACGCTAACTAAAAATAGTAAAAAACATAAACCGCCATTTTGAATACTGAATTATCCCAATTTATCCCTAATTGTCCCCATTACCGGTTTTATCTCAAATCTGGCAAATCCGGCCGGAATTTTTGTCCAAATCCGGCCGGATTTGAAAATTCCAAATCCGGTGCACCCCTAAACATATGTGTAAACTATATTGAGGTCTTACCATCATGTCTGGGGGAAGGAAATCAGGACGTGATCTATGTCCCCACCCCATCTCATGCCGATGACTTTCTTGTTCTTCCCACATCCTTTCTTCCTCTTCTAAACGACGCCAATATTCCTCTTCACCCCATCTAGAAATCACATCCATATTCTTTCAGATCAATGTTAAAATATTAAAATCATATTAATAACAGGAGGAGGTATGAAACAAAACTGTTTATTATCTGTGGCATCTGTGCATATCAAGAGGCACCAGCCCAAGGATTTTTAAATTATTTTTTAAACTTAATTGAGGCCCGAACCTTACAGTATATAAAAATTGTACTATCAAGCTGGACTATCCATCCACACCCAAGAAGAAAAATATACTAGAACAGGCTCAAACAGGCCTTGAATTTCTCTGAAATCAATCGACGGCAATGGCGTTAAAAATTGCTGTAGAACGTAACAGTTGCCTACGGCAATTTTGGCAGTTTCCACAGCATTTTTCAAATTACTGTAATAAAACTTTAATTTTATTGTTACTTTGGATTTTTGACAAGCTAGAAACATGTCTACGTATTTCTTTGGTGTTTTTTTTTCGAAGAAAACTGAGACTAAAATAGTGATTTACACATGATTTGATCAACATCTGAATTCAAGTATCAAAGTAGTAAGGCACAGTGAATAGTATAAAAATTGCACCATACAGCAAAAAATTGCCGTCGTTGCCGCAATGATCCATGGCTTTTTGTTCTCCCTCCACGGCAATTGCCGCGATAAAATTCGAGCCCTGGGCTCAAGGATATTGTGTAATGTAGAAACACACCTTCTGACTTCTTCATTCCTCCAAGCAGCCTCTTGCTGTCTCCAGTACATATCTTGTTCCCATCTTCGTCTTGCTTTATCATCCATGAGTGAGCGTGGCTGAGATGGCTGTCTGCTCCTTGAACTACTAGGCTTTTGATCCACAACATAATCTGGTTGAACTTTCTTCTACATATAAAAATGGCCCATGCATTAGCATTTCTAGGCTGATTCAAATACACTGAACTTTTTTGGATAAACATATTTATTAGCTTTTGCCCAATAGCAAAAGCTCATCTTTATTATTTTACGATGATTTTATTATTTGCCAGACAATTTTATGAGTCATATTGGCCAATCAAATTGCATGTTATTCCACCTTTTATACCATAAAATTTCCAAACACATGTATAACAGTCTATAACATGCCATAGGAATGTTGTATAAGAACCTCCCTCAGATTAAATCAGTTATTTATTTGCCTCCATGTGGAAGTCAGGGAAAAGTTATCATCACTGGGAGCACATACATAAAGTTCAGACAAAAACTGTCCACCAGTTATCTTTGTCAACAAGATTTGATTATAATAATTTATTGCACTGTCCATCATAATTCGACTTTCTCGGCAGATATTTTCCTTGCATGCATTTCAATATCAATGGGAAACCTAAATTGCAAACAAAATTATTAAGAAAAAAGAATTGGCTTGGCAATTTTTTACCTTATATGTAAGCTGATGCCTTCTTCCTTTTAGATGAGCTTCTCTGGCAAGTGTATCATTGAACTTGCATTCACATAACTTACACTCAAACCCAATTACTTTGCCAGCATCACTCTTCACTTCTTCAACATAGTCTTCACCTGATAAAATAAATTGAAAGGCAAACCAGATTAATTTGGCACTGGTCAGTGCTCATTGGGGTACAATGCAACTCAATGGGTATTAACTAGACACATGGGCAAATAGTCCGACGGGTTAACTAAAGACACATGGGCATTAGACAGAGTAAAATAATATAATTTCACTCTGAGTTAAAGGATCAATCACACACAGCTCAAAAGAAAGTCAGCTACAACTTACCAACAAATTTAGACTCCTTTCCTTCTTCAGATGCTGGGGTCACTGTTTTCTTCTCGCCTTCATCTGGTGTAGCGGCAGCAGTTTCTGCATCTGGTGTTTCTGGTGTATCTGCAACAGCAGCAGTTGATGAGGTCTCTCCAGTTGATGAATTCAATGTTGTACCACCAATGAAAGTAATCTTGGGTGCAGAAGGCTTCCTGTTCCTACGTTGATTGTTCCTAAATGAAGGTTTCGGTGTCTGTGTCTTTACAGTACCATCTTTTTTCTTGTCTTTGTCCTGGGCCTCTGCTGAAAGTACCTCGGGTATTGGCTTTCCAAGCTTTTCATGTAGTTTTACAGTCTGAGATAGAAAGGAACATACAGTGAATAGTAGAATAAAGAGAATAACGACACATTCATGACACTTTTTTTCAGGCAAGAGAAAGGATCCACTGTAAAAACAAGGCATTCAATTTTATACTAAAAAATAGACAAGCCTGACATGGAGCTCCCTCAGATTAAATCACTTAATATTTGCCTCCATGTTTCAAGTCAGGGAAAATTTATCATCATTGGGAGCTCAATAATATGCAAAAACTGTGCAAATCTCAAAACCTTGCTGCTATTCAAAGTAATCCATTAGAATCTAGAAATTCTTGTTTTCATTTGGGGACCAGATTCGAAAATCTTGCTAATCCTATTTGGATATGCTTGAAATACATTACTCATCAGAATCAAAACTGGACACTAGTTCCTTATCTCGCAGAGTCTGAAATTTAAATATTTTTAAGTACCCCACTGGGACACCAAGATTCAAAGTATCCCACCTCCCTGAGTCTACTATTCCACTTCTGGTTACCATAAATTTTGACATCCCTGAACCGTCAAAGTAAGTTCATTACAATTATAACAACAGGGGACTCAAAAGTCAACAACTAGATTGCCAAGTTGGAAATCAAAGTCTGGTTATTTCAAGAAGGCAGAATCATAGTATTCAATGCTATATTTGGGAGACCACCAAAGACATTAGAGACCTTATGATTTTAGGACGGCAACAGCTACCAATGCAATAGATCATTGAAAAGAATTGAGTAATTACAATATATGAATAATTTAGACATTGTCCTCACTCGGTTTACAACGCTAAATCATAGATTTTCACGTCTTGATACAATGGCTGCATTCCAAGCCGCAACAAGTGCAACTTCAAACTGGGTTTAGCAGAACTCTTCCCAACTATAAAACCGATGTCTTCAACTTCTAAAACAGTAAATTCATACGATTGATAATATACGACAAACTATCTTACTACCATTTATTTGAAGATTGTTTTTGCAGTTGCCGTCGCGTTGCCGTTAGGGATGAGCCGATTAATCGGCCAAGCCGATTAACCGGCCGATTCGGCCGATAATCGGCCAATTGTAAAGAAACAATCGGCCATTTGCTGATTATTGACCAGTTTCTTTTTTATGTTAGAAATAAATGAAAATCTGTGTATTCATTGTGTTTTTTTTGCACATGTTTGACAATCTTTTCATGTTATAGAGCAGCATGCAGCTGCTACACAAAGACATACAGTATACAAATCAGATCTTGCATTTATCTTCATCGGAAATGCAATTATTAAGTGCAAAATTAACACTTATACAGTACATGTGACCCCCATGACCATGTAGCTGGATTGTGTGTGAATGAAACATTGTGTGCGCACATAACTCTTAGTGAAAACATTGTGTGCACACGGACGACCAGTACATCATACATGAGACAAAAGAGAATGTCATGAAAAAGAAGTGGAAAACTTTTCAATTTGTATCCAGCTTCAGAAGGGAGAAAGAGACGTGAATGAATGCCAGAGATACTGTAGCCGAGTACTTTTGTCTTTGCTACATTACAGTAGCTTCTCAAGTTTTATTTTAATGCTCAAAAGCATCTGAGGTTCACCTGAACAACTAAAGCCTACTGCTAAATGTGTAAATGGAAATAATCGGCTTTGGCCGATGATTAATCGGCCGATTATTTGGTATTATCGGCCACCGATTAATTAAATCGGCTAATCGGCAATTTCAGTGATCGGCTCATCTCTAGTTGCCGTCCTAAAATCGTAAGGTCTCTAATATCAGATAATGTTTGAGGTTTTATAATATCCAGTCAGGATACCAGTCATTCATAGTTTGGTATCCAAAACTAAATTTTACTATCTACATAAATTTCAGACCTTGTTTTGAATACCAAAATTGAAATGCTGGTATCTACAATGGGCACCAGTAATTTATTATTCTAGAAAAAAAATTTTGTAACCAACCTTCAAGTGCTTAGCACCTTTAAGATGAGCATTAAAAGCATCCGTTCCCGTGCATGTCACATCGCATAGACTACACCTATAACCATCAGCTCCAGCAGCCTCCATTTGCTTCTGTGCTGCCTCTTTCTTCTTGTGTTTCTGTCCTTCAAGATGCTCCTTGTAAGTCTACAATAAAGAAATCAAGTTATACAGCGCAGTAGGGTGAAGCAGTTTTTATAAAAAACAAAACCTGTCCGAAAAAATGAGTGAACCAGTTTTTTTAAACATGTTTGGAAGTACAGTTACATGCATGACCCTACTCATAGAGCTGTGCGCCAGAGCTCCTGCATATTTTGCCAGAACCGGAAACCTGCGGCAGACAAAATTATGAAAAATTATTTCAATGAACTTCAAAATTTGAAAAACTTCAATGAACTTTTGGTAATGAAAAAATTAAGTTGAATGATTCGAAGTTACTATAAAGTTTAATTACTTGCCCCAATGTATTTTGGGCAAAACTACCACGCTGCCATGCAGTTTTACTTTCTACAAACCATTTTTTAATTAAACAAGCACCACAGCACATATATTTGATAAGTAAAGGAGAAAGCTCAAAAAGGAATATAAAAAATTCTGAAATTACACCAAAATACTTTTGCCTGCTTCTACTTTTAAAATGAAATTTCCTTAAAAGTTCCTTTCCAGAGCCGGAGTTTTGACTGCCGGAGCTAAAATAACGGGAGTTTGCACAGCTCTACCTAACTCACATTCAAAACCAATTGTATTAATTAATTATAAACAACCTGATTATAAAAGAAAGAAATACAGTATGCATGATATAAGATAATATTCACAATACGATTTACAAAAGTATCATTTGAAAACCGATTTCATTGAAATAAACATTGATTTTTTGAAATAAACATTGTTTTCAAAAAACATTGATTTTTTCATTTTATCAATTAACCGCCTCATTCTATACAACAGGGTCTAAAATTTACAATTCTAGTGTTGCTCATCGTAGCTTGACAGCTACTTATTTACATTCACTGAGCTATTTCTCGCGGTCGCAAATGGACAAAAGGCAAAAAACCAACTACTTCCTCGAGGGCTCAGCTTGAGGCACAATTAAAAAGTTTTGGCCTTTGGTTTTTTATTTCTGCATATCTGTTTGTTTCAAAACTTCAGAAAAGAAAACCCTCATCGGTCCACACCAAATTTCTGAAAAAATATTTCCAAGTTTACAAACAAGCTGTTGAGAAGTTTGCTTTGAATTGTAGGTTAACCTAGGGTTAAGCTAACCACCTTTTGAACAACAGGTTGCAAATGTTTAACCTCTCACACAAACAGTAGCATGCTAGGTGAGGAAAAAACGACCACAACGAAATAATTCGCGAATCGTGCCGTTAATTAATGTTTTAACAAACTTTGGTTGCAGTAATATGTTAAGTTGGAAATTATCATAACAAATGAAATTAATGATGTCACCTTTATTCGGTTGTCTGACATAATGACGTCATCATAAAATCGGTATTAAAATGGGGTAGTTCGTTACATGAATAATCGCTAATTTTTTATTTTTTTAAACTTTTATTTAGCTTTGCCAAGTAGGGCAGGGTCAACACAACAGCATATGCCAATTACTGAGGGCACTTTTACCTAACCCACCCTGTCAACTTTCCCTGTGGGAGGAAACCGGAGTACCCAGAGAAAACCCACGACTTTCGGCAGAGCGTTGACTTTTACTCTTTTCACATGAGGACTGGGTTGGAGTCGCGTCGAGAAAGTTCTCACCGAGACCAATCTCGTACCCAGAGCAATGTCTGTGGGCGGGCTAGGAAGGCATTGGCTCTGGGGAAATTGACAACCGGAACCCCCAAATTTAGGGGTTCCGATTCTTTGTCAGCATGCACGATTGATAAACATTAGACCAATCACAGCACAGGAAAAATTCAATTTCCCCAGAGCCAATGCCATCCTAGCCCACGCACAGGTATTGCTCTGGGTACAAGATTGCACCGAGACTTGAACCAGCAATCTTAGAGTTGAAAGGGAAGTGAGCTAACCACTTCACCACCGATTGTGGCACAAACGGTCAATTCTCTCTTCTCAAAATTATTTTTGCCACCCAAAATGGCAGTTTTTTTAACATGACGTTTTAAATAGACTCAAGACCTGCACAGGGACCAATTACAAAATGGCCAAGACTGTCCAAAAAGAAGTAACTACTTCTCTACACGATTAAATTTTACCATAATTTCAATACCTGAGGTCCAGCACAGCTGATCTTGCAAACATCACAGTAATGAACCTGCTGCTGTCTCGGTGGATTTCTTTGCCTGGGAGGACCCGATTTATTGTTCTGATTATTGTTGCTGTTGTTCTTGTTGTTTCCCCATTTCTGCCTCGGCTGTGCTTGCTGTTGAAAGTAAGACGAAGCAGCATTATAAACGGCAGCATCGTAGCCTTGTGTTTGCTGGTAGCCACCGGCTGAGCCGGACCAATTTGATGGGGAAGTGTAGGAGCTTGTGTTTTGGTTATAATTTGTGCCAGCTTGCCCTTTGTAAGGGTAGGAGACATTAGCAGTCACCGAGGTGCTCGGTTTTGGAGCGGTGGGAGTCGACATTTGGTTGCTCGTATTAGACGGCGCCGAATAGCCAGAATACATCGATTTTGTAGCAGGGGAACCGTAGCCGTAGGCTTGAGTCGTCCCAGCATGCTGGTTGTAGTAGCTGCCCGTTTTCGAAGCATCGTATGCGGTCGAAACCTGCGAATTATCACGGCCGTAGTACGAGCTTGGACTCGTATAGGCACTTGCCGCATTTGTTTGATAACTTTGAGTGGTAGAATCTTGCACCCTTGCTGTGTATCCGTAAGAACTGCCCGATAAACCGGTCGCTTGATAGCTAGAAGCGGCTGTTGGTGTATAGGCACTTTGGCCCGGCATGACACTTCGAGGCGATGCAGTGCCGTAAGCATTGGCGCTTGGCGTTGTCGATTGGGCGCCATAAGCGGCCGCAGTTTGCCCGCTGTAAGCCGATTGAGTCATCTGAGGGCTTTGCATGGTATTGCCGTACACTTGAGCGCCCTGAACGCCGGCTGAATAGCCGTAATAATTACTGTTTGCAGCCATTTTCTCTTCTTTCCCAAAGCGAAAAGGAAGCTTGCATGTGACGCCACGTGCTAACACGGCATTCTGGGATGCATATGCCATCGAAGCCGAACATTTCCGAGTCATTCCCGAGTCTGAAACACTGATCTCAAAACAAAATCTGGGATTTATTTTACAAGATTATTTTGTCATGCGCCAGACGGAATTTTTCTTTCCCTTTTCGAATTAGTTCCACCCGAGAAATCGCATGACAAAGAAAAATTCCGCTCCGCGGGCAATTGGGTTACTGTCATTCTGTCAAGCAACGGTCTTTTCCTTTTAAATTCGATCTTAGGCGGACGGACTGCAAGCGATATTTATTCTAATTTATAATACAAGTCAAAAACGGAAAAGGGGTGTTCGGCATTTGAAAAGCGGCGCTGGAAACAAAATTATGTATCCACGGCAGTACGTGACTCAAAATTTCAAATAAAATTACTTTTAAAGACGTGTCAAGTCCGTTATGCGCATGTGAGTTCTGCTCATAACAAAGGGGGACCCGCAGATATAAACATTATTGCCCAAATTTTGCATGTTTCGAACTTTTTTGAATTGAAACGTAGAGTTTATATTCATTTACGGGGGGGCGGGGCATTTACAATAGCGAACCAGAAAAGTGTTAGATATTCAGTTAACTGTCTTATTTTACAAATATATAGCAGTTCAAAATGTAAATAAAGGATTGTTTACATTATAGACTTGACATGGTCTTTAAATTTATGAACAATTTTTGAGTAAAATTTCAAATTAATAAAATTTCAAATTCATAAATTTGAGACCGTTTTGAGTCAATTTTTTTTGTAGTGTATTGCCCGTGAAAACATCGCCAATACATGTTTACTGAAAGTAAATTTGTATGTCGAACTACACTATACATGACATGTTGAGACGTGACTCGTTTAGGCAAACACAATTTCCATGTCCTTATAGTCATTCACAAGCTTGAACCAGCCGACTGATTAAACAAAACCAAAAAATTGAGCGTCTTGAAAACCAAAGATTTGGTTGAAAAATTTTACGTTGAATTTTATTTTAGTCCACAACTTGGTGTTTCTCAGTCTTCTATGAATGTTTTGTACTTTATAATTCCGACACAAATTCGAAGAAAACATATTGGATGTTAATAAAATGTGTTGAAAGCAATTAACTGCAAATGTTATGAGACGAAAACCTGGAATCATCAGCCTGGAATATTGCAATATCATATAGTACCTTTTTTTGTGGAAACACCACGTAAATTTATTACTGCAAATAATATTGCAATATTGCCAAGACCTTATTCCACTTTACTTGAACATGCATGTTAAAGTTCCGACTGTCCAATCATCATCAGTTGAATATATTAGTTCCGCGCGGTTGATTCGCTTTAATTAAATTAAAATATATATTCCCTACTACCCAGCTTACCTTTCTTTATTTTGCTTTATACACATTATAATCAAAATATGCTAGTATGAAAAATATTTAATTTGCAATTCTATTGTGACTATAAGTGAAACCATGGATAATAAAATAAATGGATAGGAAACTAGCTGACGTGACCTAATGTTTTCAATGGACTGATTGGATGTTGAAACCTAGTTGCAAATCAAATTCTCAAAAACGGCATGTTTAACAATAATACGGCTAAACATTTTAGTCAAAGAGCAAATGAATATAACTACGCCATTCTACAATGAAATCTCTAAGTATTCCCAGTCAATTTTAGCGAATATTTCAAGCACTAAACAGTGAAAAATGCATCGCAAATTTCGCTAAAATTGGCGACGCCAATTTCGTAGCTACAAATGTAAAAAAATAAAAAACAAAGACGAAAAACATTTACCTTGAATACTTTGTCGTGGCTTAGGCGTGTTTTTGAAATAATTAGACCAGTTCATGCTTCAATATTACTCTTTTAAAGCAGAAAGTCTAGCGAAACAACAAAAATGCCGAGAACTTTGCAATACGCGTGACGTCACAAATTGCAACTAGGTTGTTTTTGCTTACGTCAGCTAGAGTCCTATCCATTTATTTTATTATCCATGGTGAAACACAAATGATGATTGAATAGCCGAATACTTTGACATGAACAGAATTCAACCGATGCAGTGGAAACTCCGAATTTAACTCCAGATATACAGTTCAGTTTTTAATTAAGTTGTACACAAAAACAGATGACCGCCACGTATGCGGTCCCGGCAAAGAATGATCTACTAGAGTTTAGCCCTTTGCATGCAAATTGCTATTTACGTGCATCGCCTATAGATGCAGGTATCGAAAGGTGTTTACGTACGATTGGGTATTTTCACAGTTCTGTTCACCCAAATGTAAGTAGTATACCGTGTTTCTTTATTTTATACCACTGCATGTTTTGAGTTGTCTTATCTTGAGTGTCTTTAAGACACTTCTGTTTTAAGTTTCTTAAAAGAAGCTTAGCTAATTATCTATTTTTTTGAAAACTGTATCAAGCTACTTTAAATTCTACATTTCTACTTCCATTTTACAAGCTGTTTGAAAGTGAGACCTCTACTCACTTTTCTCGCCATGAATTTTTGGTTTTCTTTTAGTCGATTTCCTCGCAGGGATCACCTGAGACTTGTCACGCTTCCTTTGAGTCTCTCCATCCAGCGAATGTAATTCTTCCATTGCGACGGGGCCAATTCATCGACGTTCTGGACTGTTTTTTTATTTGTATCCATCCATGATTTCACATCTTTTTCGGTTTCTTTTGACCAAATGAATATCTCTCTGAGTTGCCAGTTGCAACTGGAATACATGCATGCATATACATCCTGCATTCGATATTGACACTTGTGGTATATACAAATGATTAATATTTATGTTCATGGCGCAGTCGCGCAGATGCTAAAACCTCCTGTTACTCATAAGTTAAAATGCTGCCTATATATAATGTAGTCTTCTAACTTGAGCGTTCTTTTTCAATGTAACTGAATAAGTCTTATTGGGAATATTGGATAAAAATACTTGTATAAAAATTCTGACACTGAGATAATTTAGGTTAAACTTGAGCCCACTCAAATATGAATGATAAAGGTTTTTTGTGCGGTGTCTTTTTAGAGAGCAAGAAGCATGTCCACTGCGGTTCAAGGATATCAAGTTTTATCTTACGTACTTGGTATATTGGTGATCGTCCTTAATGGAGTTCTTTTAGCTTCAATGTGCAAGGAAAGGAAAAAGATATTTGTCACAAGAGTCTCCTATCTCGTTGCCAGCCTAGCCGTAGCTGATTGTCTGAATGGTTTATTTCTCATCGTGGTACGTCAGCCTATCAAAGCAATCGAGTTTAAAAGTGATATTCGGACAATCATAGAACTTCCATTAATCTGGATTGTATTTTGTGCGTCTTTTCTTACATTGTTCCTCATGGCGGCAGAAAGATTGATCATCGTTGCGCTACCAATGGACTGGTCAAATTTACTGACGATCCCTCGAACGATATCCTGCATTCTCTTTGTCTGGCTTCTATCAATTGCTTGTGGGGTTGCAGTTCACTATAAACGATTCTACACGCAGCTCGTCTTTTGTTCATTCATAGAAATCAGCGCTCTGTGCTTTGTTGCAATTCATGTTTACATTTTATGGGTATTTCGACGAAGAGAACAACGTCGTTTCAACGCGGTTGCCAACCAAGACTCGTCCCAGGTCACTCCTTGCCTTACAGACATACCTCGCAATCAAAATATTGCCTACAGGAAAGTTTCCATTGTTGTTATCATTCTTCTGACCATATACATTGTCACTGGTGTGCCTTTCTTTGTCTGCGTACAGATGTTTACACTCAATAACGCTTACACTTTTCATAATACTCTGGCAAGTAAAACCAACCTAGATATATATGATACATTGTATATATACTTGTATTCTCTTATATATGTCAATTGTTTATCGAATCCCATAATTTATGCCTGGCGTTTAAGGATGTATCGAAAGGCTTTTTACAGTCTACTTCGACAGTGTAAACCCAAGGCTGCGTACGATTTTCAGGGCTAGAAATGGAAAGATATATGGCCTGGCAGAACAAATGCTCGACGGAAATTGGACACAAAATGGCCATGTCACTGAGTATTCATTGGATCGTGGGCTCAGCCAAAAAATGTTCGCGTGCAAGTTTAATTGTTTTAATTTGTTCTTTGCCACAATACTAGGAAAAAATTGTAGTGAATTGTAGTTTGAAGTGTTGAATTCTAAAGATAAATATAAAATCCCAGGAAAGACTTTCAAACAAGACATATAACAATAAATCTAATAAAGAGTGAATTAAAGTCTTCGTTGTACCAAAAATAAATTGACTGAATTCTGTAGTGCCAATCAAATTTTTTTTATCAAAAAGACAATTTTTGAGTCTAAAAGTAAACTGAAATTGCATTACAGATTTTTTAATATTTGCTTTATATATTACTGTTAGTCTAGTAAGTCATCTATACTGACAGTGAGATAATGCCCAAAAAAGAGACTATTTTATAGTGACATTAGTGTATACAGATATATACCATGTTTTGAGGCTAGCTACTTAATTAGTAGCTATAGATATAATTTAGTGTCTATATATTTGTATAATTGACAAATTACTTCATGCATGGTCGGTTCGTTCGTATAATTCACTATAAAACCCTGATTCTGAAACTGAAACTACTTGATCGCGCAGATGCAGGCAGATTGTAGATGCAGCTTTCTCAACGACGAGGTTGAGTCTTTTCATTATTATTAATTATAAAAAGCCTATATGAAAATCTTGCTTCGACTTATACTCGGGCAAATGCCCAATATTGGCATACAATAGTTATCTGCATGCAAGTAAATAATATTAATACAATAATAGGCATCCGGTTTTCTCAATCTGATCGGGCGGTCACAATGGCATATATGCTGCACATCTATATTTACTGCCATTGCTCCCAATATTGTCATATAGCTATACAAGTTTAAGAGATATACAAGTTCAATTTCATGTAGCGATATATTTGTTATTTCGCGCAAAATAATGGACTTATGGACTTAAATGGTTTAATATATAGTCATACAGACGGTGTTAAATGGTTTAGAAAGGGTGCTTAATTATAGCAGACATGTTGAGATTTTTTTTTACGCTACGATTAAAACTTAAAAGGCAAACGTGCAGAATATAATGTCACGACCAGCAGGAAATCTACGACTACTTGTATTAGCTCCACGCTGTGCCTATTATCACGCGGGCTACATGGTTTTGACTTTTGACTGTGATAAACCACAAATACCATGCGGTGCATGCAACTGCTCTCGTTTTAAACTCTATACTCTCTAGTTCTGATGTGGATTTTCCCACTGCTACTGACCATATTCTATTTTATAACATATACAAGTACAACATTGTTGTTTTGTTATAATATAGGAGAACTATTTTTATCAATGGTAACAAAAATAACATTGTGGCAGTAAATAATTTCCTAAACGAATTAGCAAGCCATGCATTGGACATGGTCGGCATGGATTAGATTAAGTTAATAGGTTTGTCTCCGGTTTCTCCCAATGAATCGGCAAAAAATTAAGCCATGCGCGCGCGGTAAATTGACTATACAGTTATCAATCAACCAGTAGTGCCTATAGATAATGGTGTATTTATCGTTTAATGACGCAGTTATATCATCTCAATTTGGTGAATGAATAAGAATTTATTATACATGACCATACATAGAGGTCAAGTTGTGCAGATGATTGAAAATGGAAATATACTATATAGTTGAATAGATTTATGACTTCATCGTTTGTGAGTGCGTATACGATTTTTATTAAGAACGCTATAATTATAAACGAGTTCGTACAAGCTGTGAGCCGCAGCGAACATGCATGCATATGTGAGCGATCCCTCACCGCAAGGCGGAATAAATAACAAAACGGCCTCCTGCACTTGCCCCAGTTCGGCAGTTGTTATAATTCCTTAGGCTTAGCCCTTTATATAGAGAATGCCCAGCATACCACGATAAATTAAAGGCTTATTACTGAGCACGCCATGCATCATGGACATGGTCTATGCAATTATAGTGTTGTTCGAAAATAATGGTCAATAGTTCTATTTTGAGCAATTGAGGTATACTTCGATTCATGCCCTCAAAACCTCGACGTTGCCTTACGCATACGCTTAAATGACTGAAAACATTTCCTGGCCACAATTTGTGACGCTCTTTTCTGCTGACGCAATTGCTAAACTTGTCAGTCGACACTTAGTATTTAGTGAATTCGTATATCTGGTCGCCGACAGTATTTGTGTACCTATATAGGCTATACTAATCATAACGAAGCAAACGCACTCGTAAATCGAACAAGAGAAACGAACGAAGAGGCAAGAATGTTGAACGGTACAAGAGATGTGTATAAAATCGCGTTGCTTGGATCCGAGGGCTCTGGAAAAACCGGTAAGGTAGCTGTATTATAAATATAGTCTTATATATACACTTGATATATATCAGCCTGTAGGCCTATATATATAGCCTATACTGTTCAAATAGCTAGAGCCCAGAGGTAGTCAATAGCTTAAAAAATGTCAATACTTTATAGAATTAATCTAGATCTCTCATTTTATTTATTTGTTACCAAATAGCCTTCAGACTATGTACAATGAAACGTAGTCGAAACGATCTAACATAATTTCTCACTCTGTCTGTATATATCGTTAATGTTTTCCTTTCCTCATCCAATTATAAAGTGCTTAATTGTTTAAATTAAAATATTTGAAGATTTTTATCTATTTTTCATCTTGACTACCAATTCATTCTTCTGAGGATAACGAACGGGATATTCTCTTAAAATTTACTAATTAGTAAGATCAGAGCAAAGTAATATTTCAACTCATCACTGACATCACTCTTTAGGGTTTAGCTTCGGAACAAAGCCAGTCAGACATGCAGATGGCGTGTTTTAGCAGACCACAGGAAATGTTTTCGCGAAATTATCTAATTACGCGCAGCATATTAGATATCCGAGAACGTAGCTATATTAAGAAATCGATCATCATTGCATCAATTGAAATAGTCTATCAGTAGTAGTGACTTAGGAAACATAAAATTATATCATTGCATCTTTGGTCTAACTGTAGCGTACAATCGATGAAACTGAATCTAACTGATGAAAGATGAGAGAGATGGGATTGTCAGGACATATGAACACGATTTTTTTACATAAATTTTGAGCAGTTTATGTAACATTGAAGTGCCAACAGATATATGACACTAATTACAAGAGAAATGCAGGTCAATGCAATGATCAATTGTGTTGCTCCATTTATTAAAAATTTAATTTCCTTTTGCCTTTTTGGCGAATGTTATATTATGCAACACATGCATCGATTGATCCAAAATCCATAACCTAAAAGTATGCTAAGGCCAAAAAAGTACTCTGTTGTGTAGCCGTAGTATTTCTGGTCAGTGCACGCGTCAACTTTTTTTTATGAAAACACCTGAATATTATATAGTAGATCTCATTTTACCATTAAACATGCAAACTTGCATGGTGACAGATTATCTTTAAGTACTATTTAAAGCACGCGTAGGAGTGTTTTATTACATATAAAACACGACGCGTAGCGGAGTGTTTTATATGTAATAAAACACGACTACAAGTGCTTTAAATGGTTTCAAAAACGACTCATCTTATACGAGTTCATTGGCGAAGTATTTTTTAAAATAAACTTTGTCTAAACCGAGAAAATCAAAGCTAAAGTTTATGTAAATTAACATGATTTTTTATCACATATAAAACCACGACACGCTTATGATTTTTCTTTGTGTATTTGTAATGGAGTTTTTGAAGGAACTATCAATGTATTCACTTATGTCTGGTTTTCATATGATCGTAACGGTCGTAAAGATTGAGTCACGATCTTTCTCATCAGCCAAAATACAACATTTCAGAAGTGAAAATATGCGGATGATTATAACTAGAGAATACTTATGATTTATATGTGGTTTACATGCAGGTATAAACTGTTATAAACTGCCTCTTGAGAAATTCGTGACTCTATTTTTACGACCATTAAGATCATATGGAAATCAGGCTTTAGACTGAGAAACTATAGACACTATATAGTATAGAAATGAACTCAACTTTTCAAGAAATCGCGCGAGCATCAATTTTGGACAGACAAACACCAGCATCCCAGAAACAGATTAACTTTTGACCTAAGCCATGCATGCAAGGGTAAATATTCTGCATCTAGGCAGGATTTGGAACACAAAAAAAAAAATTCCAGAAATGCAACATCATTTGTATAGGTGGATCATTTTTGGACCTTTTTCACGAGCATTGTATAGAGCTTATATATATATTTTTCTCTATTTAATAGCGTTACTCGTTAGATTTCTAACAGGACGATATATAGTTGATTATGATCCCACGATAGGTATGTAGTAGCATTAACTAATATTATACCTCAAATAAAAGGAAATATCATCACTCAAAGCGGGAAATATCATCACTTCGGGTAATATTTCGCCGCCCTTGCTCCAGGTCTACAGATCAAATGATATTTCTGGCCATGATTTCAGGCCATGTTTACTTGGCTATAAATTGATCGGGGATTAAACTTGTCTTTCAGAGGACACTTACAGGAAGATATTTGTGTTCAATGACGAACCAGAATCAGTGGACATCCTGGATACGGCGACTACTGTAAGAATACACAATTTATAGATTAAAATTTGTCCAACTCTGTTTACATCGTTCCTACAATTTTCGTTCTTCCTGTCTCAAATGCGTTTACCCAGACTCCGAATTGGCCAATTCGCGGCAGTACCGGAAAAAGGTGCCGATACCGGCGTTATGGATTACGGCCGATACGAGTATCGGTTTTTATCTTGTTTTGATATTTGGCCTTCGGGCTAACTGAAGGCCTCAAAAAAATATTAACTTGTTTCTAACACAAGTTTTTATAAGTAACACTGGACCAATAAGGGATATCGACATAATTGCAATTGGAGTCTATATACCGATAAAATATTCGTAAGGATTGTGGTGGGAGTTTTGGTGTGGAAATATACGCATGCGCACTAGGGTATTGCATTGTTTCCCTTAAACTTAATTCGTATAGTATATATCATATGGATTGTTACTCCATTGCCAGAGACATATACATGAAACTCGAAGAATAAGTTATTTTAGCAAGGGCTTTAAAATTAACATAGTTATATATAAGTTATCTATGGTTGCAACAGGAACACTGGACCAATAAGGGATACGAGTATCAGTTTTTATCTTGTTTCGATATTTGGCCTTCGGGGCTAACTGAAGGCCTCAAAAAAATATTAACTTGTTTCTAACACAAGTTTTTATAAGTAACACTGGACCAATAAGGGATACCAACATAAGTGCAGTTGGTGTCTATATACCGATAAAATATTCGTAAGGATTGTGGTGAGAGTTTTGGTGTGGAAATATACGCATGCGCACTAGCGTATTGCATTGTTTGGCTTAAATTAAACTTAATTCGTATAGTTTATATCAAAATGGATTATTACTCCAATGCCAGAAACATATACATGAAACTGAGCTGAAGGTAATTCGAAGAATAAGTTATTTTAGCAAGGCCTTTTTCTTGTCAGTATACTGAGCTTTAAAATTAACATAGTCACAGTTTTATATAGTTGCAACAGGAACCGTTTTGCTATAGGCAGCCATAGGCTTATACGCAGAGTGAAAATATGCCGCAAGCTCACACAAAATGCAATGCGTAGTTTGCAAGTTTCGAAATTAATATAGTCAGTGATGTCACTAACGATTTAATTAATGAATAATGGATTTCAATTTCACGCACTAGTTAAGCCGGTTTTCAACTAGGCGGAATTTTGCGCGCGGAGCGGAATTTTTCTTTGTCTTGTGCAGGGCGCTTATACCCTGGTCTTGTGGAACTAAAGGCCGTTTTCCACTAGGCGAAATTTTCCGCGCGGAACGGAATTTTTCTTTGTCTTGTGACGCCCTTAATTAGAAAAGACAAAGAAAAATTCTGCTCTGTACGCAAAATTCCGCCCCTCTCTCCTCCGCAGAGGCGATTGGAATAGGCTTACATGTAAGCGCACGCTTTACGTATTTGGAAGATCAGTTTGTGGGTATGCGTAAACAAGTCGAGATTTACCTCAACTATAATTTATCAGTGTAATATGTAAATTTAATTGTAAAGTTTATAAGGGAGGTACCTCGCATGGGCTTTTTCTGACCCGTTCGCACTTTTCCTTTTGGGTAATACCTATTTATCGTTATTGTTAATATTGCCAATAAAGTTATAAAGATCACCTCTCCCCAAATGTAAGATTCATGTAAGCCTATTCCAATCGCCTCTGCGGAGGAGAGAGATTCCGCCCGAGTGGAAAACCGGCTTCAACTCTTTCTCGACAAGTATCGCGCATTTCAGTATACGATTTAATTAGTTTCATACACATAAAACCGGCAGGTGGTGCTTGTTAGCCTGGTTCACATAAAATCGTTAAGCAGTCGCAGACTGTCGCAGACATGTGCCGAATTTTTATATGAACGATCAACTTTCCCGATCCGTCGCCGATCCGGTCTCAGACAGTCTGCGCGAATCTGCATTTGTGTTCATATAAAAATTCGGCACATGCCTGCGACTGTCTGCGACTGCTTAACGATTTTATGTGAACCAGGCTTTATGAGACTTTCAAATTCAAATTCAAAATTTTATTAACACTGTTTCATATCATTACATTTTTTTTAAAATACAGGAAGAAAAATAAAGTATATTGTAGGAGTTAAAAATAATTAAATATTTTGAAATTTCAAACCAAAAAGTAGTAGTGAGCGACAGCCAGAGGAGCAAAGCTTTCGAGCTGGTTGCGACCATACTGCGCATGCCGAGTTTGGGGTCACCGCATAGTAGTGGTTGCTTAGGGCCTGTTCATATGATCCCGCTTACCGGGACGTCTCGCTTACCGAGACGAATATTTCCGTGCGTTCATATGGAGTATTTCGTCCCGCTTGCCGAGATGAAATTACATTGTAGTTCTATAATTAGCCTATGCAAAACTTCCACATTTCAGTCAAGCAACACAAATACTTGGCGATTTTAGTGTTTTTCTTCGTTTATTTACAAGAAAAAGTATTGCTTCAGGTGGTTATTTAATACTTGTTTACAAAACAAACATAAAACCAAGTAAAAAGTGTTAAATTAAACCGGCAAGACTTGTTCACTTCATCCCGGTAAGCGGGCTGGCGTGTTCATATGGAAAAATTTTCATCCCGCCTACCTATGATCTCGGCAAATTCAAACGAGATCTCGGCAAGCGGGCCAGCTCGCTTTCTCATATGAACACAATGCAAAATTTTATAGGAAAATAGATAGGCGGCGAGATCATCGGTAAGCGAGACGTCCCGGTAAGCGGGATCATATGAACAGGCCCTTAATGTCAAAACAGCAAGACATTTTCCAAAATATTCGTTCTGAAAGAAGGCAGAACGACGACCGGATATGGATTTATTCGTGGAGATACTTGATTTCAATACTAAATATTCCACCGAAACGTTCGAAAATGACTGCTTTCACGAGGTTAGCAAACAGTAACCGATCTTCAGGATTGCCATAATTTCAAGTTAACATTTCCATCTCTTATATCCTCTGGTAAAAATGGAAGGCCATTGTATATGGGTCATATGCAAATTATAGGCTATTTGTCGCTAATTTCTTCTAATGTTTGCCCGCGAACATTAACTTCATTGTTATAGTAAACTGTCATATACTCTATTTTGGATACAGGGCGATGTAAAGTCTGAGCTACGAAAGGATTTTCTGAAATATGGCGACGCCTTTGTGATCGTCTATTCCGTCACTGACCGCAGCTCTTTTGATATGGTTCAAGTCTATCGCCAGGAAATCCTAGACGCGCGTGAATCGCACGTGCAACATAATGTGAAACTGGTGGGCAACAAAACAGACCTGGAGAAAAAGAGACAAGTGTCAACATACGAAGGAAAAAAGATGGCAGAAAAATATGACTGGACATTTTGCGAGGCCTCGGCTGCCTCGAATATTGGAATATCGGACGTTTTCTTTGGATTAAATGAAGTCACCAAACATTCTTTAGCGGAAGTACTCGGCTCGAGTTCAGACTCCGACAGCACAAGCTCAATGACAGCGGAAGAATCGAGAGTAAAAACGAAGAAGAAAAGCTCTCATCACAGAAGGGCAAAGTTTAAAGATTTAAAACTTTTCCGATGGCACTCGCAGCCAGATCACATTTGAAACGCAAAGTAACGAAGTAATTTTTGAAACATTCAGTATTTTGTAAATATTTTTATACCACACGGCTCCATGGTACAGAATGAATTCTGTGGCCTGTTTAAATAAAGTTTTAATAATAATAATAATAATAACACTCGTGAGTTTTTTGAAGACTCGACCTAATTCGAACTCTTTTGTTTGTGCAATTTTGACCGAAAAACACACTCGTGATCTTTTTTTCCAAATTGCACTGAAACCGTACCTATACAAAATTAATTGTTGCAAGATTGTCACTTAGTTGAATTGGCAGAACAATAACAAGTTGCTGGAACAACGTCCAGAAAGCCTGGTGAGTCATTAAATGCATAGACATATTTATCTAATATCACATGATAATATTCAGCCAATTAAATGACGATAATGTAATAAAAAGGTGATATAAAAATTAATATTAATACATGGTTACACATTGTATACAGAAAAAGCAAGAGTCAATTCCAAATAGTTTAACACCCCAATAATAATAAAGCTGCACGCACTACTGCAGTTTACAGTAGGTCAAAATGAGTAACGTTAATTGGTTTTGAGTTCATGTGGATTATTTAATGTTATACAGAGTAACCCAAAAAAATGCAATAGATTTGTACCAGATTTTTACATAGATAATCAAAGAGATGGCTATTTAAAGTAGGAGGTCATCAAACCTATTAACACTTTACCCAACTGATGCAATTTCAATGGTCCATTGAGTGAACCAGACTTTATTTTAAAACAACCATAACATTGGTTCTATACTAGACTAATTTTAATAATCATAGTGTCAAAATTAATCTTTCACATTGATGCACACTAAATAATAGGTGTAAAAATCTGGAACATTTACCTACTCCATTTTTCCGGAACATGCACACAGTATTCTTATATCTTCTAAAATCATGAATAACCCCAAGAAAATTTACGCCCAATTAAACTTCCAAGGTTACGTGACGCGGGAACCCTTAACTGGGATGGACATTTTTTGTCGATTTTGAATTTTTGACCCATAATATATAAAAACTGATGATTTTCATATTTTCATCTTTTAACAAATAACTTTAATAAAAATTGAATGGATCAGTCAATAATCGCGACTGTGCAACTAAATGATACGTCCTGTTTCGGTGTAAAATTGCAATTTAAATGATAACATGTAGCTGAGGATGAGAGATTTGAAATATGTGTGTCAAAGTATTTAATTGTTCAACATCCGTCCATGCTTTACGTAATATTTCAAATCCAACTGTATGAGGACTGGACTAGACTTCAAGTCCGCGATATACGAATAAATCACTACTAAATTGAAGTGACTGATTAATTTTGATCCAGTCCAAGAACTGAAATCATTTTCATCCAGTACTAGGACTGGATCAATATTCTTCACCAGATATTCAGTATCATCATGTGAACAAAATAAAGTAATATGGTTGGCTAATTTACCGTCATGAATTATTAATGAGTTTGAGATATACATACAGGGTGTATCAAAAAAAGCGCAACCTAGGAATTTCCCAAGAAATCGACATTGTTTTAAAGACAAAAGATTTTAGGCGCCTGGGAATTTAAAATAGCATAACTGTCAAAATTACTGCACACGCGAGTGCATAAAGCAAAATTTATGCACTTATTTAATGCACAACAACAGTAATATGATCTATTAGCAATTCGATTTCAATTCCCAGGGGCCTAAACTCTTTTATGCTTAAGAATTGCAAAGTGATTTCTATAGGAAATTCCGAGGTTGCGTTTTTTTTATACACCCTGTATATTGCCGTAACGGAACTGCATGCAAGTTAATTTGAGTATGCAAATTAAACGTTGCTCAGAAAAAACAATTATATAGTTTTTGCACGGTTGACTTTCTTTCAATTATCAGACTATTTCACTTAAGCGCACTTCATTTTGCTCATTTTAAAGAGAACAACTCGATGATTGAACGGTTGAATATTTTGATATCCCTTTTTCAAATCTGGCAGTCTCAGCTATATACTAGCCTGCGCACAGCCTGACTTCCCCCCCTTCCCCATCGAAAAGTCAGGCTACTATATACATGTTATATATGATTCAACTGCAATTTTATCCCAACGTAGAAAGCGTCATTTAGAGTGCGCAGTTTGCACCACGAAATGATTTATTACTCTGACATCCATTGCTCATACTCTGTAGATTGTCCAGGCATTGTAGAAATATGTAGCAGAATGAAAACGGAAAAAAATCACCATTGGTTTTACAATTGTACCATACGTTTCCATTCCTTCGATTGTTCCGACTTCACCAGGCCTTGTCAATTCAGGCTCCAAATAAAACGAGTCTTCAATCCACCAACCAAGATTGGTTAAGAGCAAGAATAGGACACACTCGCATATCCAAGATTTATTCAAACGACTAGCTGCCCCACGATAGTGACTTAAGCTCATGAGTGTGACGGCTTGGGTCAAATGCTGAACAGTGCCGCAAATATCAACAGCCATGAGATAAGAGTATGTTCTTTTTGCTATTATTTTGCTTGTAAGGTGAAATCCTTCTAAAAGAAGTATTCCCATTAACGAAATATATAACAGGACATCATCGTAGTCAATAGAACGGATTCGCTGTGGATCGTTTGGCGATCTGAGAGAAGCAAGAATAATGTAGCACGCAGAAATCATACTCAAGTACATTACGACTGATCCGTAGCAATAAGCTTCAAATGCTGGAAGTGTATCATAATTTGTAATGTTTTTTATTTTATGCGTATTATTGTGAGCATCGCTTTCTTTCTGTCCACTCGCATCCAAGATTGCCAACAGCATGAGAAACAAAAACACAGCAACATAAATCATCCCGATCATTATTCCCAAGCCACAGCGAGGTATATACCGCTCTCGACGTGAAGCATTTTCATCATTATTTTCCTCTTCATGGACAGAATTTTGACTGCGGTACAGACACCTCGCACAATTCTTGCAGAAGCGGCAAAACCGTTCCTCCACGTTCCTTAAATTTATCCACAGGCCATAAAGTATGGATAATGCAAGGATGAGATATTCGACAAAAATAGGGTAGAAGTACTTCTTATAGCGGTGCCAATTCAAGTTCGTTGTTGACTGATTTGTGCATTTTAAAATATCCTGAGGCTTCTTCGCTTCTTCGCAAAGTGTCCAAAACCAAAGTGCCAAGTTCGTGCCCAAAACATGTGCGAGAGAAATCTGCAGAAATGCGGTGTCCACTGGAAAACATGCTTTATGAAAGTAACCCAGAAACAATGTTTCCGCAGCGACAAACAGCGCCTTTAAAATTTGCGCAGCTGCCGCACTTTCGTGCTCCTTTTCATGATTCTTGTCCTTGCATTGCAATTCATCATGTGCAAGACAAATGCTGTTCATTATGCTTGCAAAACCAAAAACATACAGTCCGCCGCGAAAAAATATTCGCACTGGCGCATCATGGCAAGAGTCGTGGCGAACTCGATCTTTTGTAAATAAGTAGAGGTAGAGCATCGCAAGAATAGCTAAGGCCATGCAGCCAGCAACAAAAGTATCTCGCGTGTTGTTTGAATATTCCAATCTTATCAAGTTCAACACAAATGTATAACACATCAGCAGGAATAGGTAACACACAGATGTATGATCTGGGATTGTGATATTATTGTGAGGTGACCCAGCTCTTCTGATAACGCGTACAGGTAGACAGACGAGGGATAAGATTGCATATAACTTGCTCCAACAATCTCGTGTGCGCCACAAATCATGAACATTGACCCAAGCGTCGAACCACTCGGAAAGGAGACGCATATACCATGGACATTCTGGTACCATCTCCTCATTCGGTGTCGTCGTTCGAACTGGGAAAACATCGTCGTCGAACATGGGAGGGTCAATCTCTGTTACTGAAGTTCGTGCGCTGGATATTCCAGAACTGCGTCCTGTAACTCCTGTTGTGCTTATTCTGCTACTACCTTCCATCTTTTAAAGACGAGCAAAATTCACAATGTTCACAATGCGCTAGCCTAAATAGAATAGTAGTTGTTACTGGGAAACGCAAGTTATTTTCCTCGTAATCTAAATCACGAGATCAAGCAATTAAAATTCCTTTCTCTGAACCAAGGTCAAATAAACTACCAATCTATGCGGCATTTGTATTTAGGTAATTCAGTGGTAACATGCTACCAATAGCTTGCCCTTCCTTAATACTCGTTTATGGATAGTGTAAATTATCCTGCCCGACAATTTACACTAACCAAGGCTTCATCTACATGTAATAATTGTTCTTTAGAGTAAATGTGTCAATGAAGACGATCATATTACATGCGTGTATACAATTATTCAAGAAATGATAATTAAGCTTTTCCTGGAATATACAAGTCAAACGCCAGCAGTGACGGTGGCTATTTTAGTTAGTGTTATTCAAAAATAAATGGAATAACATTGATCAATAATACTCAATAATTATTGAAGGATGAATAAAGGCCGGAAAAAGTGCACTAGTACTCACATTACAGTATTAATTATTCGTATCCATCTTTAGATGAAACATACAATGGATTTAATTACAGGCATTTACAGGCATTTACAATATTACATAAAGCTGCACGCATAACTGAAGTTTACAGTAGGTCAAAATTATTATATTTAATGTTAATTGGTTTTGAGTTCATGTGGATTATGAATTTTTCTGTGTTGGTGTTGTGTACTCAGGTGAATAATATGTTTGCGATGTTACTCTGAGTGCATATCCACACCGGGAGAGCTTGAAAAATATGGCCGGCCACGGTGGTTCCAAAGGTCGTAGGTTCGAATCCCACCGTGGCCGGGCATATTTTTCAAGTTCATGTGGATTGTTTTATTTTTCTTAATTGTTTCATTTTGTGTGACGCGAACCATTTTCAAAGCTGCCACGATTACAACGAAAGTTTTTGAGGACTGGTTCACACGGCGCTATAAACACTAGCCTATACTCTATAGTATAGTAGCCAGTTTTTTTGGGAGGAAAACAATATTAATAGGGAACTTAAGCAAGCGATGTTTTTTGTCAACACTGACGTCAGTTGCCGAGGAGGGACTGGATTAAAAACTGTGTTTGTATCAGTTTGTGGTAATCTTCAACACATATGACAAAACTGATACGATTTTTTAAAGCGTTTTGCATACTTACACGAGCGCCATGATACAAAATGTCACCAAAATTAGTGATACCAATTTTCGGGTGACGCCCGTGTTGACAAAAATGTCGCTTGCTTGAGCTCGTTGTGACACGCTCGCAGGCGACAAGCACGATATTTCGCCGCTGACGCAAGTGGATTTCACCATGGATTGTAAAATAACTGGATAGGAAACTTTCTGACGTCACAGTCTAAACCTAGTTGCAATCTGTGACGTCACGTGTATTGCCAAAATTCTGATTTTTGTTGTTTCGCTATATTTTCCGCTTTAAAAGAGTAATATTGAAGCATAAACTGGTCTAATTGTTTTAAAAACATGCCTAAGCCACGACAAAGTATTCAAGGTAAATGTTTTTCGTCTTTGTTTTGTATTTTTTTTTTACATTTGTAGCTACGAAATTGACGTCGCCAATTTTAACGAAATTGGCGATGCACTTTTCACTGTTTAGTGCTTGAAATATTTGCTAAAATTGACCGGGAATACTTAGAGATTTCATCGTAGAATGGCCTAGTTATATTTATTTGCTCTTTGACTAAAATGTTTAGCTGTATTATCGCTAAACACACCGTTTTTGAGAATTTAGTTTGCAACTAGGTTTCAACGCCATCATCCCATTGAAAACATTAGGTCACGTCAGCTAGTTTCCTATCCATGACCATGTATTTTATTATCCATGATTTCACCAAGTACTGACAGTCCGCTTTGAAAATGGTTTCCACATAGGGAACCGAAACATCAAACAACAAAAAAGAACAATTAAATAAAAAAAAACACTATAACCGGATTCAAACCACTCAATAAATTATTTAATGTTACGTTATCAAAAAAAAAACAGTTAAATAAAAAAACTCAAAACCGATTAAAAATACACCCGGATTCAAACCCTTTCATAAATTATTTAATGTTATACAGGGTAACCAGGAAAAAATACAATAGATTTGTACCAGATTTTTACATACATTATCAAAGAGATGGCTATTGAAAGTAAGAGGTCATCAAATCTATTAATACTTTACCAAACTGATGCAATTTCAATGGCCCATTGGGTGAACCAGACTTTATTTTAAAACAGCCATAATATTGGTTCTACTAAACTGATTTTACTGATAATCTTGGTGTCAAAAATTCATCCTTCATATTAAATTTTAGATGTCCACTAATAATGGGCGGTGTAAAAATCTGGAACATTTACCTACGTGTTTCTCATATAAACATAAATTGAACTTGATAAGCTAATTTGACATGCTAATATCCAGTGTTTTTTTTTTATAATCCATGACAATATAGTAGTAACGTTAACGTGTTGTCAACGTCCTGCACTTTATTGAAGCCAGTTTTCCACTAGGGGGAACTTTGTCTTTGTCTTGTAGTTTCTCGGATGGAACTAATTAGAAAGGCAAAGAAAACAATAACAGGACTTTGGAGAAGGCAACAACACGACTTTAGGAGGGCGTATATTGTGGCCCGCGTAGTAAAAAGCCTATAGTTTATACCGATTCTTCAATTTACATAAATTTACTAAAATAATTTGACATTTAGTCTTTCCACAAATACAAAGGCCACAGGACAAAACAGAGGACAAAACTATAAACAAAGGACAAAACGATAAACGATCGGACAATAATACAAAGGACAAAACGATAAACGATCGACTCGATTGAACTGATTTACTTGAATATATTATAAAAACTATATACATACATACTGCTTATCACACAACTCATTTGTAATTCAAATTTTCATGTTCACTACAACAATTAGTCACGCATTCCTTCTGTTCAGTGCGTAGCCAATTCTTGGTAGTTTATTTGACCTTGGCTGGTGATCTCGTGATTTAGATTACGAGGAAAAAGGCTTATGTTTTCCAGGAATAGTAATTCATTTGGACTAGACAATTTTGAACATTGTATATTTTGCTCGTCTTTAAAAGATGGAAGGTATAGTACCAGAATAAGCAGAACATGACGCAGTTCTGGAATATCCAGTGCACGAACTTCATTCACAGAGATAGATCCACTGATTCATGTTCGACGACGATGTTTTCCCATTTCAAACGACGACACCGATTGAGAGGTTACCAGAAGATCCATGGTATATGCGTCTACTTTCCGAGTGGTGCGACGCTTGGGAAAATGTTCGTGATTTGTGGCGGACACGAGATTGTTGGAGCAAGTTATATGCAATCGTATCCTTCGTCTGTTTACCTTTACGCGCTATTAGAAGAGCTTCGTCACATCACAATAATATCACAATCCCCGATCATGCATCCATGTGTTACCTATTCCTGTTGATGTGTTATACGTTTGTATTGAACTTGATAGAATTGGGTGAGTCAAACAAAAGACGAGATACTTTTGTTGCTAGTTGCATGGCCTTAGCTATCCCTGCGATGCTTTACGTCTGCTTATTTACAAAAGATCGAGTTCGCCACGACCCTTGCCATAATGCGCCAATGCGAATTTTTTTCCGTGGCGGACTGTACATTTTGGGTTTTGCGAGCATAATGAACAGCGTTTGTCTTGCAATTGACGAATGGAGTTGCCAGCCTTCAAAGAATGAATTTGATAACAAGACTGCGGCAACTGTACAATTTGTAAAAGCGTTGTTTGTCGTTACGGAAACACTGTTTCTGGGTTACTTCCATAAAGCATGTTTTCCGGTGGACACTGCATTTCTGCAGATTTCTCTCGCACATATTTTGGGCACTAACTTGGCGCTTTGGTTTTGGACACTTTGCGAGGAAGCGAAACCTCGACATACGGAATGCAAAACAGCGCCGAAATTAGGTTGGGACCGCTATCAGAAATACTTCTACCCTGTTTTTATCGAATATCTATTCCTTGGATTGGCCATACTCTATCAGCTGTGGATCAATTTAAGGCACGGGGAGGAAATGCTTTGCCGCTTCTGCAAGAATTGCAAGAGGTGTCTGTACTGTAGTCAAACTCCTATCCCTGAAGAGGAAAATAATGATCAAATTGCCTCACTTCGACAACGGTATATATATACCTCGCTGCGGCTTTGGGGTTATGCTTGGAACAATTTATGCCGTAGTGTTTTTTGTCCTCGTATTGTTGGCAAACTCTGACGCTAGTAATAATAACGATAATAATAATAACAAAACGGGGGTAAATGGTACAAACATAGTCATAATCAATTATGATAAACATGGCCCCTTTATACATTATTGCTATGGATCATTCTTGATGTACTTATCCATGACGTCTGCGTGCTATATTATTCTTGCTTCACTTAGTTCATCAACCAATCTACAGCGAATCCGTTCCATTGATTACGACGATGCCTTGTTGTATATTTCGCTGATGGGAATACTGCTTATCGAAGGATTTCACGCTGTGAGCAAGATAATTGCTGGAAGATCATACTTTTATCTCCTGGCTCTTGATATTAGCGGCACTGTGCAGCATTTAACCCAAGCTGTCACACTCATGAGCTTAAGTCGTACAACAAGTGGTCCTCGGAATAGAGCTTGGATATGTGAGTGTATTCTATTTTTGCTCTTAACCAATCTTGCGTGGTGGGTTCAAAACTCGTTTTATTTGGAACCTATACATTGACAAGACCTGGGGAAATCTACACCCTCAAAGGACTAAATACGTACGGTACAATTGTAAAACCAATGGTGATCTTTTTCCATTTTCATTCTGCAACATATTTCTACAGTGCCTGGACAATCTACAGAGTATGACCCGAGGTATGACCAACGGCTACACACGTAAAAACGCACAAATTGTTACAGATATCCAAACAGGTTGTAATTAGGACGATATCAGAATGTGTTCGCATTGCTATAGTTCCATGCAGTTGTTGTGACAAGTCTGGAACAAGTTGTGATGCCTTGTTACAAGGTTGATGACATAACAGCCTTGCTAGTCTTGCTATACACGTTGTTCCAACAAGACTATAAATACAAGCTGTTCCTAACATGTTGCTACAAGCTTGTTGTCATCAACTTGTTACGTTCAGACAATCCCAAACTTGTTGGAAGTCTGTTGGCCTCATCGAGCCTTTTACAAGATGATACTTGTTCCAGACTTTTCAACAACTGGGAACAAGCAGTGCATGCGAACACATCTTGTTGACAGATTTTTATGCGCGTGTAAACAACTAATAAATGATTTCGTAATGACGAGAACGCGCCCAAATGATCGGTATAAAATCTGGAACACAGCCCAGTATTACATTTGTGTGAAATGAATTAAGACTGGACAAAGTTTAAACTTTGTCCAAATGTTGTAAGTTTTAAGATAAGCCTTCGAAATAAACTTCTCAGCGACTTCTTAGCTATTTAAACTTTTAAACCTTTAAACTCATTATAGTAATGTGTATGTTTATAAAATAGTAATTAGTAATAGTACTTATATATATATATATATATATATATATATATATATATATATATATATATATATATATATATATATATATATATATATATATATATATATATATATATATATATATATATATATATATATGTAAATTATTGCATTTCTTTTTAATTATCTTTGAAAAGCTCCTCTGTGGGAAAGATAATAAATTTCTAATCTAATCTAATCTAATACCGATATACCGAAAATATCGGTATTACATCAATATCGGTATATCGATACCGGATATTCAACCATACCGATATACCGAAATTTCGGATATACCGGAATTTTTCGGTATACCGTATTAAATTTACCAACTATATGGCGAAACCATAACCTTTAATTTACTACTGAATGGCAACTCAAAGAAATTTCTGAGTCCTGCAATGATTTAGAATTTCCACTTCAGTGAGATTTTACACTGAGTACGCGTGCATGTCGTTCGAAACATGTTCGAAACAGCTTCGAAATTATCGTTTTCCCTTAGAATTACTCAAAATTCCTTCAAACTTCCATTAAAGAATTTTCCTTTATAATTATCAAAGGAAAACCGGTATACCGATAATGTCGGTATAATATATATATACCAATGTATCATCAAGCATATTACATGGTATGCATGGTAATAATACCTCAAGATACAAATGCATGGGCACATGCAAACACCCTATATTTTACCTTCTGCAATCACTCGTCGTTGTTTTTCTTTTCTAAACATCCATTGTTTGTCTGGCGAAGAATCTCGTAGATATCAAGAGCTTCTCCTGGAATGATCAAATAAATATTAACCTGTACAATTCAGTTTTATGTTCCATGTACCTTAACAAATCCTAGGAAGAGTGTTGTTGGTGGTAATGTAGTTGTACCATGATCAAAGCTAGTGGGTTAAAAGTATATAGTTTATATGTGAAAATGTAATTTTCTTGTGTGCCATTAATAGGATCGAGTTTTAGCAGCGACTACGAGATTTGCTCGGGTGCGAGGAAATCACCGTATAGTCGTTCTCGTTTCCGTTCAAATGTTGCTTTTATAGTAGTAGACAAACAACGAAAGAAAAAGTTCATATAAACTAAATCTCCTGCAGGCCAAAATCCCCTACAAAATGTGCAAATAAGTCACAACATTATAAACAAGCCAGATATTTAATACTAATAGATTATTTGCGCCGGATAAACGCTACAAATTATTTTTGAAAAACAAAGAAGGCCAGCTTTCTTTGTTTTTTTTTTGAAAAGTCGTAGTGAGGACTACGAGATTTCTCCACAATTTCGTACTCAGATGGGCGACGGCTACGATTTTTCGCGTCAGTACGGGATGGCGTAAGTATACAGCATGCGTTTCGCTTGACAAATCTCGTAGTCGTACTCGAAATTTCCTGGTTAATTTATCTCACTTCCTACCATAATCTGGTTAGTGTTTTAAAATAACCAGACTGTTTTAGCTAGATGAATAACCAAGAGCCCCTGGTTATTTATCCACCTGGTAAATTTAACCAAGGAAAAAAGTTAAAACAACCAAGGTAACCCAAATAAGGCTATTTCTAGGTTAACCAGAAAAATGTTAACCAGAGTGAGGTTGCTTTATTTGAGATTACCATATAATATATATACGGACAAAACAACCCGTTATTATATGTGTTCGCATGACCATTTAATGTGTTAAAATTTACCCTAACCCCACGCTTGCATCATGTTAATACATGCAATATATACATCAACGTTTGGATACATCATACATAAACAATGACCATCCACATTATTGCATCAACATGCATAACTCGCACTAGTGTACTACCATATCACTTCAATAGGGACCTTTAGCAAATAGGTGACGGCAACGCGATGACGACGGCCAAAATAAACTCGTTCGAATAAGTAACTTTAAGGTCAACATGTCTTGTATTATCCGTTGTATGAATTTATTGCAATTTAAGAAGGTTAAAGACACAGGTTTATATAGTTGAGAAGACTCCCACTAAGCCAATTTGGCGAGGACGACTTCTCGCGGCTTGAAAGGCAGACGTTGTGTACAAAACGTGAAAATCTTTGGTTTGCTGTTGTAAACTAAAACTCCCATGGGACCTTTAATTATGCATTTTCTTTTTACACTGTCATAAATTTCATTCGCCGTCCTGCTAGCTAAAGGTCCCTAATATGTGTTCTGTGACTTAATTCTGTCGGATGAAATTTCCAAGTTATACTCATAGCCAAAGCGTCCTTATATTCACAGGCTACATCATTTGGAAAGCAACTAAATGGAGATATATTTCAAAACTACCTTGAGGAATTCCATAACTCTTCGTAAAACCTCTTGGATTCGATGGAGTTTTACAGTCCATAGTCACTTCCTTTCTGATTACAGAATCAATATCCACTTCACTGAAGAAGGCTACTGACTACAGTACAACAAACATATATATCAAATACTAATAGTTGCACAACACTGGATTGCATGTATATGCATCTCAGAACAGATCAATGTTCAGATAATACAAAATTCTACCAATATACAAAGGTGACGTTTGGAGGTGATATATATGAAAATGGACTTCGCTTATTGACTTAGTCTTTTTCCTTTCCGCTCTCTTTCTCTCTCCCTCATTTTTTTTCTGAAGTCTTTCATTAGACTACATTTCATTACTGAAAAAAATGAAATTTTAGACTGAACTATATCTTATACAGTACATAATTACTTTACACACCTGAGGTAAATCATTAATGCCCAGTTTGTAAGCAAACATTGATCTGGTTAATAAATTCGTAATTTGTAAAGCCAATGCGGCTCTGTAACGATCTTTACTGTTCACTAAATAGCGAACCTGCAACAGAAATGTACATGCAGACACATTTGTATTTTATGTAGCTATACAGGGTGGTTTCACCTATTTAAGACCACTATGTAGCAGTAGTTAGGCCAAAAAAAAATGTGGGTTTCCGGTTTCTTCTTATAAAAACTTAGGTAGGGTAGGTCGGTTTTAACTTTTTTTTTTAACTTTTTTTAAAATTTTCCTAACAACCGGACGCCATTTTGTTTAGTCAGTGCTTCCACATCCAAAGATAAATTTCCCTAATATTGCCTCAAACTTCAATTTTCCACAAACTTTTTCCTCTAAGTGGAAACACTTACAAGCATGATCCAATAAAAGAATTTAGGGTCGGGATTTCGACGTCCAAAAGCTAGGTAGGGTCGGGAAACCGGAAACCCACATATTTTTTTTGGCCTTATCCGAGTGAGAAAATATAATATTTGAAGTGAAGCGCATACAGTGATCATATGAATATTCACATGTAAATTTGCGATTTCGAAATGCTCGTCGTAATCGTAATGTTACGGTTGTTTTAAAATAAAGTCCGGTTCACCCAGTTAAGATTTTTTTGTTGTAAACCAATAGGTTTGATGGCTCCAATTTATACCTCGTCATGTATGCTGATACAAAACCTCCCTTCAATTCCACATTCAGTGAACAACCATTTCATAGAGACCAACATGAGATGAAGATAGTCCACCGCAGATGATTGTACAACCCAGTTTATACGACTTGTTATAAACTATAAATTATATAAAAAACAAAATCCTATAGCCAAAAGTATGGAAAGCATGGGCTTGCAACTTACAACATAATTGTTGAAAGAAGCAAGCATGTTTCAATTTTTGTACCCAATGGCAATGTACAACATTCTGGATGCATGCTATTTCTGAACGTATTCCATAAATGATGTAATGGAAATATTTGATAATAACTACATACCTTATTCCCAACAATATTAGGTTCTAGTGCTCTGCTGATCTTACAACCTAGAACTGGAGTTTCGGGTTCCTCAGATTGTGCAATACTTTCTAGCATGTTGAACATTTGAGACTCACTAAAGAATAATTGTACAGTTTGATAATTAATTAATCAATACAAAATTGACCAATAAAAAGATGATTCTTAGGGACCATGCAACGGATCAATGTATACGTTTCCAGTATTCAGTCGAGGTGCATACCTTCCCTCTTGCCATTCCTTGTACAGACTCATTTCTTCATTTTGATTCCTAAATATATGTTTTATGTTTTAACAGCTTTATTGAACGATGTTCAAACGGCAAGAGTGCATGCGAACGGGTTTCAAGACCCATGCGAGGCACTCTCCCTCTTGAATTTTGTTTGCATCTAATATCATTATTTACGACAATATTTAACAATTATTGAATGAGGTTGAGCACGATATGAAGAATTATCAAGCCCGAAATTTGCCGTTATCAACCGAAGCCGAAGGCTGAGGTTGATAACGGCAAACTGAGGGCTTGATAATTCTTCATATTGTGCGAAAACCGAATTCAATAATTGTTTTATTATTTATTTAAAAAATTCAAAACAAACATTTGTATTTTATTTGTATTAAGAAAAAAACAATTCCTTAGTCCTTCGGCAGCCGTCGTCGCGTCATATCAATGGCGTCAGCGAGTCACTATGATTACTATATGACGCAAACGCGTCCAAATTATTTTCATATTGACTCTTTGACGTCATTTTGCTAATATGAATGTGAAAAATCCGTATTTGGTTAGCCGTTGAGTTGATATGACAATTTCACAGTTGGCTGTTAGCCAATCAGAAACCAGAATTTTTTTAAATAAATAATAATATAAATTGGTAAACATATACCAGCTGATAAAAGACGCATGCCTCCATGATTTTGTTGTAAACATTTTAAATTGAGGCTGATTTCATTATTAACAATTCTATACGAACAATCATTGACAAACGACCTGCTGGAAAAGCAAGCAACGTAAGCTGATTTTAATTTTTTCTATTCATTATTAGCGCAATGTGCATCCTTTACTGCAACTTTGAGGATACATTAATCTGCAATGTAATCATATTGAAATCTCACTGTGTAAAGTGGGGAAGGAAGAAATAATTGTTGTAGAGTTTTTTGTACATTATTAGACCTTTATGGGCGGACTGCAGCGGCCCTGCGATTTCGGTGCAGGGTCCAATTGATTTGCATCCATTCAAATAGCGAGCAAAACATTACTATTATATTACATGTAAACCCCATAAAATTTAAAATTATTTTTGGATATGAGTTAAAACAAATAAAGCTTTTCTCATGAACAAGCTTGGGACTTGAAAGGACATTCTTTAAAGCTCACAAACCTAAATCTCCTCGAAACCTTCAACAACTGATAATAACTCTTGCTGTCCAAGAATCCATCTTCTGTGATCAAATCTTCATAATATTTGTATTTCTTTGCAATCTTTTGACCATATTCCGAAAGACGATGCCTTTCTCAAAAAGAAAGCATTATTATTTGCTCACTGCTATTCTCTGCCTCTCTGGTTTAAGTAAATAATGAATGCAAATTGTATATATTCCTTCATCATTTACTACACACGGTTGAGTCTTAAATTCATAATACCACAAATTATCCTGCCTTGCACGTATATGCTACTGAAGAAGGTAGAATGGTATAAAGTAAAGTATAGACAACAATAGAGGTCTGTCGGTGGCTGATTTTAGTAGTTTATTAATACATTTTCAGCTAACAAAAAATTTAAAAATGTATTTTTGCAGCCAAATTCTGATTCTATAGAAATTGTAAGAAAACTATTAATGATCCCTGGACATGAACAAATTTATTAGCAAAAATCTTGGAATGTCAAGAAACTCACAAGGATTTCTAGAAGTTTTACGCTCTTTCAATATTGCTTTGAATTAAAGCATCAACTATCACTTAACTATAATAATTTTAAAATAGAATCCAATGTGTCACCGATGTCTCCAATGTTCTTTTTATACTTTTTAATTGTGTTCTTATTTGAAATTATTTCACTATCCTTTAAAAGAATTGTTTCTTGTACATATAGTATTCTACACCAACCTCTGAATCCCTTTTGTTGATGCGTAAAGTTTTTCAGCTTTGCTTCTGGCTTCGTTCTCCGTCAGGCGATGATTAAACTGTAATAGTAATTTCTCAGCAAAGTTGACGCCAGCTCCATAAATACGACCATAATTAAAAACCTGATAAAAGAAGCGAATGAAAAAATACATAGGAAGAAAAAACAATTTAACAAATATTCTTGATAAAAATCATAAGCGTGTCGTGGTTTTATATGTGATATAAAATCATGTTAATTTACATAAATTTTAGCTTTGATTTTCTCGGTTTAGACAAAGTTTATTTTAAAAATTATTTCGCCAATGAACTCGTATAAGATGAGTCGTTTTTTAAGCCATTTAAAGCACTTGTAGTCGTGTTTTATCACATATAAAACACTCCGCTACGCGTCGTGTTTTATATGTGATAAAACACTCCTACGCGTGCTTTAAATAGTACATACTGACTAATATAAGATGCAGGAATAATTTTTGTTACGAACTTCATTGCTTTTACCTAACCCTACTAAGTATATAAGTCATCAAAATCTTGTCGTTTGAGAGTATTTTAATAATAGCTGTTCTCTTGGCCCAAAATATAGCTCAAAATAACGGTCAGTCAACGGTCAATGATCGGTCAAATTTAAATAAATGTGATTGGTATAATTTGCGGTAACATAAAACGGTCCCTCTACAGAGGGGTCCGATGATTGACTAAAATACCTTGGCATGTTCTCTTGTTATCCCAATTGTTTCTGCAGTTTTACTGTGAAGATCTGTTCCTTCCGTCCTTTTACCTTGCAAAGTCATCCAACCAAATGCTGTACTGCCTTCACAAAAAGTAAACAACTAAATATAGGAATTGTTTTTTTTCTCGTCAAGGGGATTGTGCTGCCACTCAATGGGTTAGTCAGACCATCTGTCAATGCGTCCTGATAATCCTTTTCTTCTTACCCACTGATGCAGTATACACCCTACTTTATTGTTTACCTCTGTTCAAGGGGAGAGTGTTACCATTCAATGGATAGATGAGGGAAAACCATACATGGAATAATTTTTTTCTAAAATTAAATGGCGGGTGGCTGGGCGCACAGCTTACAGCATTGTATGCTAAGCACAACAGGCAAACATGTTCGATGGAAATCACAAGATCAACTCAACGGAGGACACAAAAACAGAATTCCCTTTGTAAAACTGATGGTGTAGTGTTTTCAATTTTACGTTTGGTTAATATTTTGATGGGGATCTAACTTTGACTGTACGCTATACCATGTGTTTTTGCAAAGTTAGCGTCACCCAGCAAAGCGGCGATCCAAAGTTCCTGGCTGTCCACATCAGCACCAACGAAACAGTACCCTGGAGGAGCTCGGATTAGAGCCTTCAATTCCGAACCCACACGGTCTACCTGGAAAACAAATGACATAATATAAAACAGGATTTTGAATACGTATTAATATTTTAAACAGAACTACTCCAGAATTAAAAGTGCTTAATGAATGTTTAAATATAGACCAAAATAGCATTACTTGAATTCTGGAATTTTTACTATACATTTCGATCCTACTTTACTAGCACCTTTAGCTACTACACAACATCAGTACAAAATATATTTTTCTGGATGTCAGCAAACTGTTCTAAAACCATTTATTTTAAGTCTTAAAACAAAAAAAATTTCAAATTCTGAGGCAAAGTTGCGAAACGGTTTGTGGTTAAACAAACTGAAAGACTATATTAATATTATGAAACAATTTGCTCTTGACATGTATGCAGGCTGACAGCCTGATGGCTATATCAGCTCATATACGACTCTAGTTCAAACCCTGATAGTGTAGAACCGTTTAAGCTAAACCTATAGGTCCCATCTGTATTAATCCTGCCAGTTCTCTAATACGCCCCTCAAACATGCATGCTGAAATATACAAGCCTCACCAAGGGTCTTATAAGAGAACATTTGCAGTAAATTCCTCACCCTGGGATTACTGGCAGTCATCCATGTTGGTTCAACAGCTCTCCGTGTAACAGTCCCAGCTGTAATAAACCTCGGTAAAATTGCGCCATATTCATCATCTGATGTGTAACAAGATGAACTGCAAATATAAAACAGGAAAAACCGCTTATTTAATTGCACCCAAATTTGCGTTTTTACTTTGTGTGCATGGCCTGGTTAATTTTTAGCTACTTCTAAAGGATTCCTGTGTTTATTTATGTTATAATTACTAAACAACATGAGAATTAAAGTGGATGGGTATTTTATAATCGCCCTGAACATGTAAGATATTTAGTCAACAGCAGTACAACACCATTGTACACAACACCAGGCTTTTAGCCAGGGTCCTAAAAGAGGGCGTCCAATTTTGGTACAACGATACATGTACAGTAACGGGGAGGAGGGGGTCGAGAAAATGTTCTTCTGGAAAACCTTTGAAGTTCACGTTACTTCATGTCAGTATCTGTTCCAAGCTCGTTCGAAATTTTTCGGACACACTTGGCTTTGTGAGTTTGTGCCGCTATACTTCTTTACTTATCTACGATACACCATCAAATTGATCAAAATGTCAAATGTATAATAATAATGAGAATTGAAGCTATCTCGTTTCAGATATATTAATATATTTAGGGAAATAATTGAAAATAATTTCCCTTTCCCCCCAGAATTTGGGCGTCCATTTTTTGTTCTATGGGCGTTCCAGGACGCCTGGACGCCCTTCTGGCTAAAAGCCTGCACAACACCATGGTACTTCTTCGGCATATCTCCACTCTGAACGTGTTGTCTTATTCAGAAAAATCAGTGTCTATACACTTACTTGATAACGTCATTTGGGAAATAATTCTTATCAAGCCAGACAAACAACTGTGACCTAAGGAGTGTGACAATAAACACAACGTAAATAGTCTATTAAGACCCCTCTATTTCACCGAATACCTTCTCCTTAGAGAAAAATAGCAAAAAATATATTTGCCTAATTCGAAAGAATGTTGAGAAACTTGAGATTATTTACAAAATTCTTTTTACAAATTCTGCCAATCTATTCTAATTTTTAAGAAATTTGTTACCAAAATATCTTGCCAACCGCCATTATTTTATTATAATATTAAATTACGTTTCAAACAGGCAGACGTTTTAAAACTAAAAGAAATATCAGAGGAAAGCTTATACATAGTTTGTGCTTTCATTTAAAATAGGCAAGAGTATGGGCGGGTTTAAAAATACGTACGTAATCCTGCGTTTGGCATTTCTCCAATACGAAATCATTTTGTTAAGCATCAACGTTCTTTCAGCACCTTCGTCTCCTTCAGATTTTAATGTACCATCTTCCATTTTACTGATGTAGTCTTTAGCCAGTGGGTTGCCACACTTAAACTTTTCACCATCCTAGAATTTTTAATTTAAATTCTTGAAGGAACATTATAGGTTGGACTACTTCTTTCATGGATGATTCTGCAACTTTATACAGAAAGCCAGCTATACATAGGACGATGGAAGTGAAATGGCCATGAAGGAATCCACACACGAATAAAACATGCTATTAACTCTTAGTTTACTTTACGAGGGACTATATGAATTAAATGGACAAAGGTAGGAATACTGCACCTTATGAGGTATGCGGAAAAACCATACACCAGGGAGATTAACATCGTTAAATGGTCCGACACCATGATGGAAATCAGGAGCGTCCTGTTTTCGCAACACTTTCGTCCTATTTCTGGATGATGCACCTTTACTGGACACTAGAGAAAACAGACACTACAATTGAAGCTCTCCAAGAAGACAGTGAAGGAACAACGGTAGGTAGGCTTGTCTAAGTGGGTCAATATAAAACGCTTTGTGAAACCCGGTGCAAAGTTGCTATTGTAAGGAATACGTTATATGGAATTTTACCTTTATTCTTCACTTCATTTTCTTCCACACTGCTCCACAACTGTCCTTCACTCAGTTCCTGGACATCTTCTTCGTCTTCCATCGCCAATATCCTCGCTTTATTGTCAGAGCGATCTTTAAGACGTTGCCCGAGTTCTTCAAATGCTCTGAAACAAAAATACCGTGCTAGGGGATTTCAATTAATTTTGCCGATGGTCTGGCACGGTTACTAACGAGTGCGTTTAGATCCTGAAATAACGGGCACTGGACATTTCTCGACAGCTTTTCCGACCAATTGGTCGCACATTATTTCTAGACAAGAAATAGCAATTAATTGTGTAGTAGTACGATTATGATACCTTGTTGGGAAGTCTTCACATTCATCTTGTGAAAGATTGGCTGTCCTACCAGGTACGAGATAACCCCAACCATGTCGACTATGATAGTGCAGCGGATAGCCATCCCATGTCATGCGCAGTAGGCTAGGACCAACTCGACACTGGGCACTAACCAATACAGCACCCCTTCTCCAATTGTCAGAGTCCATTCTTGGACACAGTTTGCGGTACCAACTAAATGAGACATACAAACCAGGATTTTGGGTATCTACTCTCGATATAGAAGAAGGGTCAATGTATGCAGGTTCTATTCCTGCCACAGTTGTATTTTATACTAGACTTTTACTTACAGTGGATATCCAGGCAAATGTTGTCGTTTCTTGTATAAAACATCCTCTGCTGACGGAATTCGAGCAATAATGTCTTCTATATCGTCTTCATCATCATTCTCAATTTTATTCTACACAATTAAAATTATAAAAAATAATACTTACACTGATAACGTATCGTCTTAACACAAGACATTTGCAAACAAGAAAACTATAAAATTATAATCGTACAGTGAATACATTAACAACTATTATAGATGGTACTCGGAGACTGCATACCCTCACCAGTGAATTAATTTACATATCATGCAGAAATTATATAATGCGCTGATCATACATTCAGTACATACACAGATAGACTACATTTAATACGCTATAGCCTCATTAACTGTCAGATAGTTTCCATGAGAAGCGTGTGAATGTGTGACACTTTACAGTACAACATGATAGGACTTTACACAACATGACACAAGTAGCATACAAAAGATCGTAATAAACGAGCCGGCTCAACTCTTCGTGTGTTTCAAAATTACCAGGCAAATTACCAGTTTACTCTGCCCGGAAAAGCAAGACAAACTTTGGCTAATTTGTCATCGAATTCTCATTAATAGTTTAAATATTTTTTAAAATATTTATTAAACGAGCTTTCGACTGCCAGTCTGCAGGGAAAATGTTCCCGTGCGGCCCGTGCGTAATGCAAATTAACACAAAATTTGCAAATTTCGTAGGGTTACATGCTCCTCATTTTACAACATTTCGCAACCAAACTTTCCACTTTTACTAATTTTAGCATGCTCTTTGTAGCTGTGTTGATGGATTTTGTTCTTCTTGTCCAGATCAAAATTTAGTCTATTGCTGGAATTGCCCATTACATAAAGTTAAAGGACAATGGCAACGAAAATTTTTATTGGCTATTTCAATCCTACTTGACAACCGAACTATGAAAATATTATCATTTCCTTCTTGAACATTTTAGTCTACAAGTAAAATGCATGCAAACTTTGTGTTTCGGCCAGTTTCGCCGCCATCTTGGAAAATATTTTTGAAAAATTATCTCGAAGGTCAATGAACTTTGTGACGTCATTGGCTGGGTAACACCAAAACTACAAGAGAGAATTCTATTGCGTGCGTGTTATGTTAGCTAAAAATATGTCGTTTTGAGCGTTATACTGGCCAACACTCTTCGCAATCAAACAAGAGAAGTCTACACTATCAGATAAAAACATATCGAGCGACTGGGAAAGCAAGAAATGGCGCAATTTACCGTACAGGTAATTGATCATAAAATATTGCATTAGTATTTGCCTTGTTACACTCGAATTTCTGCGCTTATTTAACACGGAGTAGGATATATACTATGAGAAATAGTGTTACAAACAAGTTACATACTTGGTAAAACTTTTCTGCCTTTTGTTTCGGCTCAAAATGCACTACGCGTGGTACACGCCCTTCGTGGAAATCAATGTTTTTAATTGACGTAGTTAGCGTGTCAAAATAAAATCAATCTATCTATCTATCTATCTATCTATCTATCTATCTATCTATCTATCTATCTATCTATCTATCTATCTATCTATCTATCTATCTATCTATCTATCTATCTATCTAATACACGGTATTGTTTATGAGATTGTGTTTACCCAGCCAATGACGTCAGATAATATATTTTGTGGCATAAATTAGCATACGCGCTTATTTTCAAAATGGCGGACAACTGTTCAAATTTTCTCAAATTCAATCAAATTTTCTCAGCAACTAAACGCGACAAACCGACCAAAATATGAAATTAAATATTCCGTAAGTATACCTAATAGATATAAGTAATAAAAATTTTGGTTGCCAATATCCTTTAAATGAAACTAAAAGTTTACCACCATCTGCGGTTCAAAGGTACTCAATGAAACCAACTCTACAAATATACACCACTACACCTTATTATCATCCTTTATTTCATCTTCCTCTTGCTGTTTTTTCTTTCTTCCTTTCTTTGGAGGTTTTGCTTTCTTGATTCTTAGATCTTGAACTGACCAGTCCAGATTCCACAACCAAAGATCATTTTTATATCTGGTTTAAATAAAATCATTCATCAATTTGGCTTGAAATTTTCTTCTGTGGGTTATCGACAATGCAAGCTGCATTGAACAATGTTTACTCGTATAGCAGCAGTCGGTTGAAAGTTCATCGACGCGTTACTCCCGCTACAAAAACAGTAAATCAATACCACGCTCTTGTAACCTGAAAACCACAGGACCTAGTTGCTCTTCAATAATTTGAAGAAAGTCCCTTAAAATATCTTGTACAGGACCGTCTGACAAAATATCCAGTGACCTTGAGAGTTGAGTGGGACATATGTATGAAGATGTCCGATGTCCTTCAGTTCAGTTATATAGGTTCGGAAATAACTCTGAATGACATAAATTAATATTGTGCCGGTAAGAAAAAGACAATCAACTAACCTACCTCCCTTGGGGAAAAAATGTCGTCCGATCTACACAGAAAATACTACGCGAAGCATTCTTCAACTTACTGATCATGATGAAGAAGGTGACAAGCATTATCAGCAAGCCTCATCAACGAGCTCTTCATCTCTTTCTCTAAATCCTCATAAGTATCTTCACAATCAGCAATGTATTTCTCCCAACTCTGATTCACAGGTAAATATGCCACACTCATCTCAAGCATGCCAGCGAATGTCACTGGATGAGGAAATCTTTCCAAGAACAGCGGCCACATTTGACAAAATAGTTCGTGTGTAGAGAGCACATCATTAGAACAGTATGTCATAAGATCCTAGAAAAGGGTATTTTTAATAACTATATAGTAATTGAACGACTAGCTCTCTAAAATAGCGGTCCCCAAAATGACTGTCACTCGGCTGTTATGAAACACATCCGCGAAACAACAGTTTGCCCAGTGACATTTTCCAGTAGAAATGTGGCCGTTACAATATTTTTTCAGTTTATTTATTTATAGACCGATTGCACTGACGTCACAAATCGTTAGAGTGTCCTCCAGATGCTCCCTAACAATATCTGTTCGGGTACAAAAACCACATACAGCGAAAAATTAACCATTCTAATACAAAATTATCCTAAAGTTTTACAAAATTTGCTTTGTTTACAAAAGTTATATTATGCATAGATTGCTAATTTGTCCTCCAGATGCATCATCACCGGCGCTGTGACGTCATGTGCAATGGGTCTATTGTAAAACCGCTGCAATTATGACGGGGCGATGGATCTGCGCATGCGCTAATTGCTTCGATAGATTTTCCCGGTGAAAGTCAGAATGTGTGATATTTCGAAACAACAGTTTGCCAAGACGACATTTTCTAGAAATGTGGCCGTTAGAATATTTATTTTAGTTTATTTAATTCGCCTTACAGGCTCAGTTAAGTCAATTATTGCCCCGTAATAAATACAGCAATTTTACGAATATTTATACTCACTTCCGTACATAAATGAGGCGTAAATCGTTTGCATTGAAAGCAAAAACTTGTCAATTTTTGCAGGCCATCGTGGCCTAAACATTCAACAAACCGAGAAAATCACTAAATCAGACTGATCTCCAGTCCATATATCCAAACGTGGGTGCCCAGAGGCATGGCGGTAACAAAGTATAGCGACAAGCCAAAACATTGCATGCCACAGTCAAATCCCTGCTCGGAAAGGTCAATTTTTCGCACAAAATATTCATGTACCAAAAACCCATCTGACAACTAATTATCAACTCCACATTTTTTTGATCTCGTAGAATCAATGGGCGCACCTTTGGCTTTGCTGTACTGCCCTATATACGTGGACATACAGAACCACTCTGAGAACTACTAACACGAATCTTACAGAAGCATAATAATACATTATAGAAGTTGGGAACAAACCAATACAGAGTAATCCCTGAGAAAGAAACGAATGTTATCTACCAGATCCTGTGCGCGGACGGCTCTTGCAATAGTATTATTATTTTACGGGGCGATGGATCTACGCATGCGCTAATTGCTTCGATAGTGTTTTTCTGGTGAAAGTGCGTGATATATCAAAACAACAGTTTGCACAGATGACATTGTCTAGAAATGTGGCCGTTGCAATATTTATTTTAGTTTATTTAATTATTTAATTCGCCTTATTGGCTTAAGTCAATTATTGCCCCGTAATAAATACAGCGATTTTACGAATATTTATACTCATTTCCGTACATAAATGAGGCGTTAATCCAAATCGTTTGCAACAAACGCAAAAACTTGTCAATTTTTGCAGGCCATCGCGGCCTCAACAAACCGAGAAAATCACTAAATCAGACTGGTCTCCAGTCCATACTCCATATATCCAAACGTGGGTTCCCAGAGATTTTGTAGAACCAACCAGCGCACCTTTGGCTTTGCTGCACTGCCCTATATACGTGGACTTAAAAAACTCATTAATAATTCATGAAGAAAACACAAAGAAAAATCATAAGCGTGTCGTATCTGTATATGTGATACAGATTCATGTTGATTTACATAAACTTTAACTTTGATTTTCTCGGCTTAGACAACCTTTATTTTTAAAATGACTTCGCCAATGAACTCATAAGATGAGTCGTTTTTTAAGTACTATTTACAACATTCGCGTCCGTGTTGTATCCGATATACAAACTCTCGCTCCCGCCCCAGTTTGTATATCCCATACAACACGGCCGCTCATGTTGTAAATAGTACATAGAAGTTGGGAACAAACCAAGTACAGAGTAATCCCTGAGAAAGAAACCAGTGTTATCTAACAGAACCTGTGAGCAGACGGCTTTTGGAATAGTATTATTATTTTACAGTCAATTTCAGCTGACTTTTCATCGTAAGATTCCGAACTTCGTTCCGAACTTCGCCAATTCGTTGCCAAGTTCAAAAGTTCATAATGAAATTCACAATCAGAGTGATTGGCTATTAAATCAAACCAGCCAATCAAATGCCAAGTTTACAAACCTGTTTGTGAATTTCATTATGAACTTTTGAACTTGGCAACGAATTTGCGAAGTTCGGTTCGGAATCTTACGATAGAAAGTCAGCTGACATTGACTGTAATATACAATATTTACTTTGGTCTATCTATTTATTGTTAAATCGCTGCAATTGTTACGGGGCGATGGATCTACGCATGCGCTAATTGCTTCGATAGATTTCTTGTGAAAGTGCATGATTTTTTTTTTCTGGTGAAAGTGCATGATACATCAAAACTTACAACAGTTTGCCCAGATGACATTGTCTAGAAATGTGGCCGTTGCAATATTAATGATTTAATTCGTCTTATAGACTTAAGCCCATTATTGCCCCGTAATAAATATGGCAATTTTACGAATATTTATACTCACTTCGATCTACGAAAAGAAGTAAATATACTAAAAGAATCGCTATCTTGCATTATCAACGTCAACAGCTTGACAGGATTCCAAAATCCAAAACAATTTTTGCAGGCCGTCGTGGCCTAAACAAACCGAGAAACAAAACTGGTCTCCAGTCTCCATATTTAAACGCGGGTGCATAGCGCTGCAAAAAAAAACAAGTTTGGCAAGAACATCAACAGACCAAAATATAGCAACCGTCAATGCCCCGCTCAAAAAAGGTCAATTTTTCGCCCAAAATGCTCATGTACCAAAAACCCATCTGACAACTAATTACCTATTCCTCGGGATGGGCGATACCAGCTTTTTCACTCGATACGATATTTACTTGATATTTGCCTTTTTTTCGATATCGATACCGATATCTTTATAACTGGAACAACCACAACAACAAAAGACTATTTTCATCTTTTCGACGCCAAAATCAGGCTGGTTGAATACGTTTTCAACACGTTTATTTTCATGTGATTGTAACTAACATAACCACAAACTCTGATCCTGCCCGTGGATCTTTAAGCACCATAGAAAATGAACTACTTTGCTAGTATTTACGCCTATTTAGGCTTTTTGGCATCATTTTCATGATGAGTCCGCTCACCAAAATGAAAAATATCGCAGGATCAAAAATATCGAAACAATCGATATTTTTTGCCAGTATCGATACTTTTCTTCAAAACCTGGTATCGATAGTATCGAGTATTTGGTATCGATATCCCATCCCTACCTATTCCCGAAGTTAATGGCTGCTCTGACAGTTTTTCTGATCCCGTATAACCAATCAGCACACCAACTTCTATATACCTGACGCGGACTTACAGAACACACGAATCTCATAGAAGCATACTAATATATTATATAAGTTGCCAACAACAAACCAACTTAGAACCCTACAACAGTCAACAGCATTTTCCCTCCCCGAAGTATAGAGTAATCCCTGATAAAGAAACCAATGTTATCTACCAGATACCGCGCTCAGACTGCTCTTGGAATAGTACAATTATTAGTATATTTATTTTAGTTTATTTATTGTAAAATCGTTGAATTAATTAAAGGGCGATAGATCTACGCATGCGCTAATTGCTTCGATAGACTTTCATGGTGAACGGAAAATGCATGATATATTTCGAAACAACAGTTTGCGCAGATGACATTTTCTAGAAATGATGTGGCCGTTACAATATTTATTTTAGTTTATTTAATTATTTAATTCGCCTTATTGGCTGAAGTCCATTATTGTCCCGTAATAAATACAGCAATTTTAGGGATATTTATACTCACTGCTACAAAAAACAAGGCCAAATATTGTCCATCGTTTGCATCGTAAAAACATATTTGCTCGTAAAACAGCTAAAATATTAATTTTTGCAGGCCGTCGTGGCCTCAACAAACCGAGAAATTCAGAAGTACAGACAATTTCGTACCCAGAGCTCATCTGTGCCCAAGGTATGCCCGTTCGCAGGTTAGGTGCTGCAAGAAGTATAGAGTAACCACCAGAGAGAAACCAATGTTATCTACCAGATCCCGTGCCCAGACTGCTCTTGGGACCACATCGGAGAGAACTGATAATTCAAAACATTTACCAGAACATAAATGACCCTCATCGAGCGGCGCCCAAGGGAATTTTACAAAACGACCCTCATCGGGCGGGACGTTTTAATAGCTAATTTGCCTCTTTTTATGCTATTACTTATAATTATACATATTTGATAGACTAACATATTTCCTAACGAAAATTGCTCTATCAGCCTCGCTTTCCAAGGAAAAGTTTTTTTCCGGAGAACAAACCCGTCGCCAAAAAATTTTCGGTCAGTGTACCATTTTAGGGGTAAAAATTTTTTTCTGGAGTACAAAATTTTTCCGGACGAGTACATTGCAATTGCTTTCGAGGGACTTTATCTCATTTTTTTATGCCAAAATTCGGTACTTAGCCCAAGAACACAGATATCTTGTCCTTTGCGGAAATATTTAAAACACAAAAAAGGCTGGGGCCCAACAAAAATTTTTCAGGGGCCCCCAGCAACTCGGGGCCCGGAGAAATTTGCCCCCCCCCCTGCCAAAACATTGCCACAGTCAAATCCCTGCTCGGAAAGGTCAATTTTTCGCACAAAATATTCATGTACCAAAAACCCATCTGACAACTAATTATCAACTCCACATTTTTTTGATCTCGTAGAATCAATGGGCGCACCTTTGGCTTTGCTGTACTGCCCTATATACGTAGACACAGCCTAGTCCCAGTCGTTCTGAAGCAAGATGTAGTAAGAGACTGGGACCTAGGTGTGACGTCACCGCTAAAGGTGCTTCAGAACGCCTAGCAGATTTCAGTATTTTTAATATGGCGGAAAATTTATATATACAAATAACCTTGTATAAATACGACAATGTTCGTTGATCATGTTCGATGTCTACATAACTAAATTCAAGCTGTATTAAAAATGTGCTCAATTAAAAATTATATACAAATTTACGATACTGAGTCTGAGCAATGGTCGTATAATCGTTGATGATATTTATATACTCGCAAGTTGTGATCAACACTAGACCATGATACTGGTATACACAACTACGCTTTCTAGTTGACAGTTTTAAGTAGCTGAGGAGATTGGAAATATTTGCCTCACATGACTGTGTTGTCAAAACATTTTTAGTCGGAGACTCGGCATAATTTTCAAGCTTCTAGATATCATTTAATATGGCTTAAAATTTTAGTAAACACGAGTCATATTTAGCCAGTTAATCCATTCTGACCGTATGGTAGAGAAACGTAGCCTATTTCATTGTTCCGACAGCATTAGAGCAGAACTAATGACTTAATTATAAACGCAAAGGAAATTTCCATAACATTTTCTATTTACAAATGCGGTATGCTTGGTAACCAGGCCAGGGACCACTTTTTGAAATCAGGGACCATTTTACCGAAATCTGCTAGGCTCTCTCGCTGAAGCGTTCCGCACAGCACACCCAGGCATAAAACTTTTAAGACTCATTTAAATATGTCAAAGCAGCGAATAGAGAGAGAGAGCCTGGGACTAGGCTGACGTAGACATACAGAACCACTCTGAGAACTACTAACACGAATTTTACAGAAGCATAATAATACATTATAGAAGTTGGGAACAAACCAAGTACAGAGTAATCCCTGAGAAAGAAACCAATGTTATCTACCAGATCCTGTGCGCGGACGGCTCTTGCAATAGTATTATTATTTTAACATACAACATTTATTTTGGTCTATCTATCTATTTATTGTTAAATCGCTGCAATTATTACGGGGCGATGGATCTACGCATGCGCTAATTGCTTCGATAGTTTTTTCTGGTGAAAGTGCGTGATATATCAAAACAACAGTTTGCACAGATGACATTGTCTAGAAATGTGGCCGTTGCAATATTTATTTTAGTTTATTTAATTATTTAATTCGCCTTATTGGCTTAAGTCAATTATTGCCCCGTAATAAATACAGCGATTTTACGAATATTTATACTCATTTCCGTACATAAATGAGGCGTCAATCCAAATCGTTTGCAACAAACGCAAAAACTTGTCAATTTTTGCAGGCCATCGCGGCCTCAACAAACCGAGAAAATCACTAAATCAGACTGGCATACTCCATATATCCAAACGTGGGTTCCCAGAGATTTTGTAGAACCAACCGGCGCACCTTTGGCTTTGCTGCACTGCCCTATATACGTGCTTAAAAAACTCATTAATAATTCATGAAGAAAACACAAAGAAAAATCATAAGCGTGTCGTATCTGTATATGTGATACAGATTCATGTTGATTTACATAAACTTTAACTTTGATTTTCTCGGCTTAGACAACGTTTATTTTTAAAATGACTTCGCCAATGAACTCATAAGATAAGTCGTTTTTTAAGTACTATTTACAACATTCGCGTCCGTGTTGTATCGGATATACAAACTCTCGCCTTCGGCTGGAGTTTGTATATCCGATACAACACGGCCGCTCATGTTGTAAATAGTACATAGAAGTTGGGAACAAACCAAGTACAGAGTAATCCCTGAGAAAGAAACCAGTGTTATCTAACAGAACCTGTGAGCAGACGGCTTTTGGAATAGTATTATTATTTTACAGTCAATTTCAGCTGACTTTTCATCGTAAGATTCCGAACTTCGTTCCGAACTTCGCAAATTCGTTGCCAAGTTCAAAAGTTCATAATGAAATTGACTTTTCATCGTAAGATTCCGAACTTCGTTCCGAACTTCGTAAATTCGTTGCCAAGTTCAAAAGTTCATAATGAAATTCACAAGTGATTGGCTATTAAATCAAACCAGCCAATCAAATGCCCAGTTTACAAACCTGTTTGTGAATTTCATTATGAACTTTTGAACTTGGCAACGAATTTGCGAAGTTCGGAATCTTACGATGAAAAGTCAGCTGAAATTGACTGTAACATACAATATTTACTTTGGTCTATCTATTTATTGTTAAATCGCTGCAATTGTTACGGGGCGATGGATCTACGCATGCGCTAATTGCTTCGATAGATTTCTTGTGAAAGTGCATGATTTTTTTCTGGTGAAAGTGCATGATATATGATGACATTGTCTAGAAATGATGACATTGTCTAGAAATGTGGCCGTTGCAATATTTATTTTAATTTATTTAATTATTTAATTCGTCTTATAGGCTTAAGCCCATTATTGCCCCGTAATAAATATGGCATATTTTACGAATATTTATACTCACTTCGATCTACGAAAAGAAGTAAATATACTAAAAGAATCGCTATCTTGCATTATCAACGTTAACAGCTTGACAGGATTCCAAAATCCAAAACAATTTTTGCAGGCCGTCGTGGCCCATTGAACTATAAATAAACTGGAAGGCTAACTCAGGGGGGTTCAGGGATTGAAGCCAGTGCATTTTAGTATTTCTGTGTTATGAGCAGAAATACTGAACACTGAACGTTGGGCTATATATCAAATTGAAGCTATTGAAAAACGCTATTTGGTGTAGAAATTTCAGGACTTTAGCTAAAAGGGAAATATTGAAAAACTACAAACATAATTACCTATAATTTGCCGTTTTGCAGTTGTTTTTGTATTTTTTTAATATTTTTCTTTTCGCTGAAGTCTTTAAATTTCCACACCGAATAGCAATTTTCAATAGCTTCAATCTGATATATAGCCCGACGTTTGGGATCAAGTATTTCTGCTCATAACTCAGAAAAACTATTTTGGCTTCATCATAGCAGTTAGCCTTCCAGTTTATTTATAGTTCAATAGTCGTGGCCTAAACAAACCGAGAAACCAAACTGGTCTCCAGTCTCCATATTTAAACGCGGGTGCATAGCGCTGCAAAAAAACAAGTTTGGCAAGTACATCAACAGACCAAAATATTGCCACCGTCAATGTCCCGCTCAAAAAAGGTCAATTTTTCGCCCAAAATGCTCATGTACCAAAAACCCATCTGACAACTAATTACCTATTCCTAGGGATGGGCGATACCAGCTTTTTCATTCGATACGATATTTACTTGATATTTGCCTTTTTTTTTTCGATATCGATACCGATATCGATATCTTTATAACTCGAACAACCACAACAACAAAAGACTATTTTCATCTTTTCGACGCCAAAATCATGCTGGTTGAATACGTTTTCAACACGTTTATTTTCATGATTGTAACTAACATAACCACAAACTCTGATCCTGCCCGTGGACCTTTAAGCACCATAGAAAATGAACTACTTTGCTAGTATTTACGCCTATTTAGGCTTTTTGGCATCATTTTCATGATGAGTCGGCTCACCAAAATGAAAAATATCGCAGGCTCAAAAATATCGAAACAATCGATATTTTTTGCCAGTATCGATACTTTTCTTCAAAACCTGGTATCGATAGTATCGAGTATTTGGTATCGATATCCCATCCCTACCTATTCCCGAAATTAATGGCTGCTCTTACAGTTTTTCTGATCCCGTAGAACCAATCAGCGCACCAACTTCTATATACCTGACGCGGACTTACACAACACACGAATCTCATAGAAGCATAATAATATATTATAGAAGTTGCCAACAACAAACCAACTTAGAACCCTACAACAGTCAACAGCATTTTCCCTCCCCGAAGTATAGAGTAATCCCTGATAAAGAAACCAATGTTATCTACCAGATACCGCGCTCAGACTGCTCTTGGAATAGTACAATTATTTGTATATTTATTTTAGTTTATTTATTGTAAAATCGTTGAATTAATTAAAGGGCGATAGATCTACGCATGCGCTAATTGCTTCGATAGACTTTCATGGTGAAAGTGAAAATGCATGATATATTTCGAAACAACAGTTTGCGCAGATGACATTTTCTAGAAATGTGGCCGTTACAATATTTATTATAGTTTATTTAATTATTTAATTCGCCTTATTGGCTGAAGTCCATTATTGCCCCGTAATAAATACAGCAATTTTAGGGATATTTATACTCACTGCTACAAAAAACAAGGCCAAATATTGTCGATCGTTTTTGCATCGTAAAAATATATTGCTCGTAAAACAGCTAAAATATTAATTTTTGCAGGCCGTCGTGGCCTCAACAAACCGAGAAATTCAGAAGCATAGAATAAAGATCCATATAGAAGGGCCACTTACGTCGGAAGCTTTGAAGTTTCTGTCCTCGCGCATGTCGCATTACGCATGTTGGCCGCCATTTTCCTAGCCAGTCAATGACATTTTCTGGCCAATAAACACGCTGTACTGGCTGGCTGCTCCGCCTTCTGGCCAGTAAACTGCATATTTTTGCATAAAAAAACGAGGACACGTTGCACCCCTGAGTGGCCCTTCTATATGGATCTTTATTCTATGTTCAGAAGTACAGACAGTTTCGTACCCAGAGCTCATCTGTGCCGACTGCCGAGGGTATGCCCGTTCGCAGGTTAGGTGCTGCAAGAAGTATAGAGTAACACCTAGACATAGACCTAGAGAGAAACCAATGTTATGTACCAGATCCCGTGCGCAGACTGCTCTTGGGACCACATCGGAGAGAACTGATAATTCAAAACATTTACCAGAACATAAATGACCCTCATCGAGCGGCGCCCAAGGGAATTTTACTAAACGACCCTCATCGGGCGGGACGTTTTAATAGCTAATTTGCCTCTTTTTATGCTATTACTTATAACCTATACATATTTGATAGACTAACATATTTCCTAATGAAAATTGCTCTATCAGCCTCGCTTTCCAACCACACAGTGGACGAAAATGTCAACTCACTCGTAATTTCTTAGTTTTGACGAAAAGAAATTGCGTCAAGATTTATAACTCTCCCGTATTTATAGTTGAATGGTGACATCGGGAGAGTTACAAAATTGGGTGTGGCTTGAACTTCAGTAAATCTCCGAAATCTAGATGTTTAGCTGTTCCCTAAAACTATACCTGAAACTGCTCTTTTACGTCATCCAATGTCCCATGAACGAAAATATTTCTCTTCTCCTTGTCCAGCTCCTTGCCGCCACAATACAACTGATAAGTATCTCGTAAATTATTCAAACAGCTGATGTCCATCCAGTCCTCGTGTTCTGACTTACCAACACTGGCAGCCTTCATCATATTGCGCTGTAAACCCGTCAGACCCGATATGCACATGTGCAAGCTCAGAGTGTCAAGGAAATACGTCTTGGGTCCCTTAAGAATAAGAATACCAGTGTTCAAGCTAGGAATTTAGATTTTGGGAGTATGTCAAAGTTTCCAAGGCATGTCAGCTAAGCTAAGGAATTGAGAGCTGAGGAATTGATTACTGTTAATAATAAGATGAAGCTTTTATTACAATAATTTCAAACCTAAGAATATATCTGGCCGGATATCGGATGAGATTATCTCACTATCCGGCTGGATATGATATCTGGTGCATTCCTAATAATCAAATAAATAAGTTCCAAACCTTGATCAAATATTGTTCCTTCACAAAACTACGATCATACCCCACAGAGTGCCCAATAATAAGCTTCTCCTGCCATATATCGTCTTGATATTGTTCTGATGACTCAAGTGGAATCAAGTCGTGCATCTTAGGATGAAGAAACCATTGATAGCTTCTTTCCTCAACAAGACGATGACTCACCCATGAATACCTAAATGCAACACCATGCCAGGGGCCGGTTGTTCAATGCAGTCTAACCCTGGATTAAAGTTTAACCTGCTGTTTCAGTTAATGTATTTGACTGTGCACATCTGTTTGTTTCAAAACTTCAGAAAAGAAAACTGTCATTGATCCACACAAGATTTCTGAAGAATTTTATTTCCAAGTTTATAGACAAGCTGTTGGGACTGTTTGCTTCAAATTTTCGGTTAACCTATATGGGGTTAAGCAACCTGAGCTTGTGAACAACCTGGGTCCCAGGTTCTTAACTAAGAGTGCACTGGTCAGATAAAGATTTTTGCTGTCTGCAGACTGGATATGGCAGATACAGTAGCACAGAATACTACACAGAAGCCCATCTCCATATTTTTTTGTGCAAGCGCTATTTGTCATGATTCGTCACTCAGCAAGTACCCTAAACAGAGGTAGTCACCCCCTGGAAATACCCAAAATCGCACTGTGTGGGAGAAAGCCATGGATATTTCCAGGGGGGGTGTTAGGGTACTCGCTGAGTGACAAATCATGACGATCAAATAGCGCTTACTCAAAAAGCAACGGAGATGGCTTTCTGTGTAGTATTCTGTGACATCTGCCTGCGTAGTATTCTGTGACATCTGCCTGCGTAGTATTCTGTGACATCTGCCTGCGTAGTATTCTGTGACCTCAGTTATAATGCCATATACCAAACATTAGGGATGCACCTGATTTGTATTTTCAAATCTTTACAGCTAGAGGATAAACATTTCAGTAATCTACTGAAATAATATCTGACCAGATTAGTGAGAAATCTCATCATATAATTATAAACATGCATGGCTAGGCCTGGCTAGCCGCACTCAAAAAATTCAAAGGTTCAATCTGCATAAATTACAAGGGGAGCATGAAAATGGTTTGAAAATATGCCAGCCTTTCTACAATCATTGCAAGTAAAAGTATGATAAACACCCTACATTTTTAACGTTATATATGAAATCATTTTTCAACCCGAAAAGAAGCTGTGAACCATACATCTAAAACATTTTCCTGGATACTATATAGGCCAGGCCAGTATATATCTACACTGTAATATCAGGATAACAAGATTATCTACTTTCCGAACAGATATGATATCCAGATTTTCAATTAAGGCTCTTTCCTTGACCAGTAGTAAAATAATCTGCTATTAGACAGAGTAAAATACTTTATTATTTTACTCTGTCTAACCCCAGACAATTTTACTTGTCAAGTGAGCAGCACGTACTGGGTGAAACATACCAATTTTCAGGTGTTGCAAGAACTGCCATGGTAGGAAACTGTCCTTCATTCACGCAGACCTCAACATCAAACACCATCACATCACCATCCGGGCACTCAACTGGCATACCAACCATCAAATCACCATCATACTTTGTCCACCCAGGTTCAAAACTCCATTCCTTTGGCCGAGATGGTAAACTGACACGTGAAAGTCTTTCAGCCATTTCAAAATAACTTCTGGTTTGTTCTTCAGCAATAACTTTAAAATGTTCTTCAATATTTGAGCCTCGCAGTGGTGGTAATTTAAAATCAACATCAGGTATCATGCTTATGGGTCGTCCATAGAGATTGTGCTTAGTTAAGTGTTCAATGCTGTTATCGATTTGTTCGTTGTCAGCATCACTAATATGGTGACCGAAAATTTGTTCGTGAAGTGACTTCGACAGCATCTGAATATTAAGCGCATTATACCGAGCTTGATTTGTTACAATATTGTTTGAAGAAAAATATTTAACACATTTAATACCAATGCCACTATAAATATTTGGTCGTAAACCACAGCAGTGAAGACCTCCACAACTCCCAAGAAATCTAAACATTTTTGTCCCATAATATCGCTTAGAAACTCAAATATGATACTACTTCAGGTATGGCTGATGGCCTGAGGCTGTTTAAAACCATGAGTAAACTGTATTAAATACAATTCATCAATTTTATATCATTTATGTTGCCAAATTTTATACATTCACACTGTTATTTTGACCACAGATAGTGTTTTGACCACGCTTGCCTGCACGCGGGCTAGACCACGCTCGAAAATAGTATTATTAGCAAAACGGAAAATTTCTAAAACATATCCTTTTGGAATATTTAAATATATATATATATATATATATATATATATATATATATATATATATATATATATATATATATATATATATATATATATATATATATATAGAAATAATTTCTAAAATTCGGAGAAATATATATCAGATTTCTGCTCTGCCGCCAAAACTTCCATTTAAAGTACAAAACTTTCCGTCCAATTTCCTTCACAGTTTTCATTTCCCAGTATTCATCATTCATAAAGCTAAAACCAGAGCGGGGGCCGCGCAGCGATTTTACAATTGGCGGCCTGGTGTTAAGATGAAGGAACTTCGCGGTTTGGCATGCCCCCCCCCCCCCCGAAAATTTTGGGAAATTACAAGTCCACAATTCAGAAAGTGCTTTTTCAGTTATTTCCCACAATAAATTTAAATGATGAGCAGATATATTTCTGTTAAACATGTCTAACTGAAAAATTAGTGAAATTTCTTGCCAACAATATGATTATATTGTATGGTGAAAGAACACTTTATACACAAAGTATTGTCAAAGAATATACAACAGTCAGGTCACAGAGTAAGCACATACTGAGGTCTCATGTTAATAGATTAATTTAGCGCAAGGGATTTTTTCAGTCCACCATGTTCTTAGAAAGTGCCCTAAAGGCCGTTTTCCACTTGACGTTATTTTCTGTGCGAGGACAAATTTTTCTTTGTTTTGTGATTTCTCGGGTGGAACTAATCAGAAAAGACAAAGAGAAATTCCGCTCCGTGCGGAAAATTTCGCCTAGTTGAAAACGGCCTTAAAGAGAGGCAGTCACCCCCCTGGAAAGAAATTGAAATTTAATGTTGGAGGGGGGTGAATGCCTCATTTTAGGGCACTTGCTAAGAACATGGCCACCAGATATGCACAGTAAAAAAACTACCTTACCGGTTTTCTCGCAGAAGTGGGACCTCTGTATGTACTTAGGGGCCGTTTATACGAGGCGAGCCAGCTCGGGTCGAGATCATGTCTTTGATATTTCCTACTAAATTTCATCTTGCGTTTATATGAGAACCGAGCTGGCCTGCCTGAGGTCCCGCTTTGTGTGACCCGAGACCTCGGTTAAATGGGCTGGGTAGTTTTCCATATAAACGTATGTACCCAAGCTGGCTCGGCTTTTAAGGAAGGGGAAGCGAGTTAGCTCGGGTACCCGGGTTGGTACGTTTCCATATAAACAGCCCCTTACTCTATGGTCAAGTCAAGCATTACTCTTTAATTAAGCCTTCCATTTTTGTGTGCAAGCCATTCTTAAAATGGTTTTTCAAAATAATTTTAGATTAGCGCATACACTTGACCACAGCGTTATTTGTGCATCGTTTCGAATTCCTCCAGTCTCATGTGAATTGAAAAATGAATTACTGTAAACGAGACGAATTAGTTTTCAACATTTATTAGAACGATAGATGAAAATATTTAATGCTGAGCCTTTCTTTGTGCGGCAATAACAGCTTGCATTTCTTCACGTTTTTTCTTGCCACGACGGTGGGTACCAAGCTAAAATAGAATATCACATTAGCCATTTTTATACTGTACTATACACACTATTTTTATACTCTTATACAATTTTCTGCATGTTGATGCGATTTTTCATTCATATTTAAACTTTTCATTTTGTATTCCATTTCAACATTATCTTGTGCCAGAGAATATAAAATATACTTACCCTTTTCTTGACAAATTTTAGAGCCTTCTTGTCTTTTCCTACACGCAACATTTCCATGCATCTTCTTTCATATGGTGCATATCCGGTAACTTCCCTGATCAGGTCACGGATAAGTTTTACACGTTTGTTACATACCTAAAAAACATCAATATTTTTAGGGAGATAAATTAGACCATACAAATTTAGCAGTTCTAACTCTTTAAATCATATTGAGGCAAAATTGACATTTAATCTTTACTTCAATGTTTTGATACTGCAAAGTAGAATGTATATTATCCAAATGTAGGATACTGGATATTGTGGGTGGATACCAGATTTCAAGTAGGTATGGACTTGTGATGTCCAGTATCCAAGTTTAAAATCGGATATCCAACTGAGCTATTTTTATAGCAGAAAATTAGAAATTAGTTTGAACATGGCAAGATCTCGCTAACCAGGCTGTCCCCTTAACTTAATCGGGCCAGCCCGGCTTCCATCTAAACAGCCATTACAAGTTTATTACGTACTCCCTTTCTCCTGGATGGTTTTGGCTTCATTGCATTTTTGGTGACCTTATGTCCCTTTTTTAGGCCAACGGCCATCTCCAGTTGGGGAGACGACATTGTTTCTTATGTCTAGTAACAAAGAGAAAAAGAAATCCAAGTTCAAATTTGCAGGTTCGTACAGTCAGAAGGAGTAAAACAAGGGACTAAAGGATTGAATGGAAGGTGTTAGATATCAATAAGGAGTGATGATTGGAATTCTTACCCATCAAGTTGCATATTTGCACCCCAATGGGCAATGGCAAATATGCACCCTACTTTATTATTTTACTTTGTCTAATGCCAGACAATTTTACTCATCAAGGAGAGAGTGGTGGTGCTCAATGGGTTAATGTCAATGTAAAACTAAAGCAAGAATTCAAGGATTTAAATGTCCCTATTAGGCTATTATTATAAAATATGTATGTTCTAATGTTCATATGTTATATATATATTTGGGAACTTATTGGGGTCACACATAAAATAGACATGCCAACACAATACACTGGTGTAGTCCACGTTTACAAGAGTAGCTCCCCCGTTAGCGTCATATTGTCTGAGTGTAAACAAGCCTAACAGATGCATGTTTATAATCAATGCCTCTAAGATAAGAATTGCAAACGTGTTCATAAACACAATCAGTTTTAACCGCGGATAACACACAAAGACTCCCAAAAATGGCGAAATATTTCAGAAACGGTACCAAATTTATCAAAATTGTAATGATTTTATAAGAACAAATCAAGATGGACAAGATATCAATGGATTACTTTACCTATTTTCAAACTGAGACCAAATTTCAAAATGGCCACTTTGGAAGAGAACTACGACCGCAAAGACAACCGGGAAAACAAAAATCCGGGGGGAGGGGAATATTATTATTTTGGAAAAACGGGGGGGGAGGAAGGTGTCCAAATTCCAAACCGTGCCACGCAAGCGAAGATGGCGGAAAATTTGTCACAAAAATTGTTCCAAAATGTGTCAGAAAAATCGTCGAAATATCCTAAACCCGAAGTAAAGTTTACTTACGGAACGGCAGGTTTTCGTCTAAAGGCAGAGTTGCTGCCTTCTGTGATGTATCGCATGGGTTTGCTAGCTGTGTTGCGTTCTCGTGCCTGCGGAAGTAAAACTATTGGCCTCATGATCACCGCCTCGCACAACCCCGTGCAAGACAACGGTGTGAAACTGATTGATCCCATGGGAGAGATGCTCGAAGCTGATTGGGAGAAATATGCTACAGAGTTGGCTAATAGTGACGAGGTTGGGAAATGTTTGAAGGATCTCACTGAGCAGGTGAAATTGAAAAGTGCCGAATGGAATGTTGTTGGGAATGTAGTGGTAGCACGAGACACTAGACCCTCTGGAAGTGAGCTTGCTCAAGCGGCACTTGATGGTGCGGAAGCATTTGGTGGTAAATTTAATGATCTAGGTAAGTAGCACAATGCCATTGCAGAAAGTGAGACCTCTGGTCTCAGTCATGTAAATGACACGGGCAGTCCATGTAAATGACACGGTGGAGTGATGCCCACCCAGGGGTGCAACTGTTGGGGGTGTGGGGGGACTTGTGACACCCCCCAATGATACGATACTGGGCTGTTTATTTTCTGTTTCCGTTTGTGGCTTTGGTTGATATCCACACCCATTTGTTGGGCATGAAAAACTCACCCCCCCCCCCCCCCGCTCCCCAATGCATACAGTCAAGTTGCACTCCTGGCCATGCGAAGCTGTATTATAACTCCATGCCAGAGATCTTTGAAGTTTTGTACAGAATGCACCCTAGAAGATCTAGTCCAGACACAAGGGGTGCACCAGATAAACTGTTGTGGTAACAGAAAAATATCACACCTTGTCTTCACAAAGTGGGATTTTTTTGGGGCACCTTCTAAACCAAGGTGTCAAGTGACTGAGTGACACACATTTGTTTTTGAACACATTGATTGTCCACACATAACTCAACCATAAAATAAACATGTGCCTTAAAACAGTTTTTTCATCATGAAGAAAAGCGAACTACATTTCCTGACTACATTTTCTCGAAGTAGCTGTAGAGAATGACAAAAATTTTATACAATTCCTCTTATTTATAGGAATTCTGACAACGCCTCAACTACATTTCATTGTTCGATGTATCAACGATCCAAAGTATGGAACAGCAAGTGAAGAAGGCTACTACAAGAAAATCTCCTCAGCGTTTGTCAAGTTGACAAAGTCTGTTGCCTTAAGTCCTGTCAATGTTGATGGAGCAAATGGCGTCGGAGCTCCGAAGATGTCGGAGTTAGCCAAGCATTTGAAGAATGTCCTGCCAGTATCTGTCTTTAACGACGGTAGCACTGGCAAACTGAACGAAAACTGTGGCGCAGATTTTGTTAAAGTGGGTCAAAGAGGTCCTGAGGGTGTAGAAATTACAGTTGGTGGTAGGTATGTATCGGTCGACGGTGATGCCGACAGAATTGTATATTTCTATCATGATAACTCTGGCGGATTTCATCTCCTCGATGGTGATAAAATTTCAACACTCATTGCAAGTTATCTGAAAGAGAAGTTAGAAGAATCATGCTTGAATCTCGACCATGGCCTGGGTGTGGTCCAAACTGCGTACGCAAATGGTAGCTCGACGGCGTACCTTGAAGATATCCTTAACGTTCCCGTCGCATGTGTTAAAACTGGCGTGAAACACTTGCACAAGAAAGCTCACGACTTTGATATAGGCGTGTATTTTGAAGCGAACGGCCACGGCACGGTATTGTTTAGCGTAGAATTCAAGTCGAAATTGGAAAAGGCGAAACAAGGTCCAGATTTAGGTCCGAAGAAGAAAGCAGCATTAGAAGAATTAGAATCATCTATGAATATTATCAACGAGACGGTTGGAGATGCCATGTCCGACATGCTTATCGTTGAAGCAATTCTCTCCAAGAAAGAATGGGATCTGCCCACCTGGGATAAGTGCTACCAAGATCTACCAAATCGACAGAGGAAAGTCCAAGTGAAAGATCGAACTGTTATAGTAACAACTGACGCGGAAACGAAGACAACATCTCCTCAAGGTTTGCAAGGTGAAATTGATACCTTGGTAGCAAAAGTTAAGAAAGGGAGATCGTTTGTTCGACCCTCGGGCACAGAGGATGTCGTTCGTGTTTATGCCGAGGCTGAAACTCGGGAAGATGCGGATTCTTTAGCATTAGCAGTTGCTGGGAAAGTTTTCGATTTGGCTGGAGGTGTTGGGACTAGACCGACGTGATATCATTAGCAAGGACTTTAGCAATACACTTGATACAATTACTAGATATTTAGAAATAGACTTTGATGCATTACAACTTTATAATAATCCAATCACAATTATACGTACGATAAGCACAGAGGATGTCGTTCGTGTTTATGCCGAGGCTGAAACTCGGGAAGATGCGGATTCATTAGCAGTTGCTGGGAAAGTTTTCGATTTGGCTGGAGGTGTTGGGACTAGACCGACGTGATATCATTAGCAAGGACTTTAGCAATACACTTGATACAATTACTAGATATTTAGAAATAGACTTTGATGCATTACAACTTTATAATAATCCAATCACAATTATACGTACGATAAGCACAGAGGATGTCGTTCGTGTTTATGCCGAGGCTGAAACTCGGGAAGATGCGGATTCATTAGCAGTTGCTGGGAAAGTTTTCGATTTGGCTGGAGGTGTTGGGACTAGACCGACGTGATATCATTAGCAAGGACTTTAGCAATACACTTGATACAATTACTAGATATTTAGAAATAGACTTTGATGCATTACAACTTTATAATAATCCAATCACAATTATACGTACGATAAGCACAGAGGATGTCGTTCGTGTTTATGCCGAGGCTGAAACTCGGGAAGATGCGGATTCATTAGCAGTTGCTGGGAAAGTTTTCGATTTGGCTGGAGGTGTTGGGACTAGACCGACGTGATATCATTAGCAAGGACTTTAGCAATACACTTGATACAATTACTAGATATTTAGAAATAGACTTTGATGCATTACAACTTTATAATAATCCAATCACAATTATACGTACGATAAG